GTTACCTTGTGTGTTGTTCATCTGTGTATCTGCACACAACTATGTCGTTCCAGTCTACTAGACAAACCTACAAAATCAAGCCCTTCAAGGTCGTAAGACTGTTTTCTAAACTGTAACTGATGTGTAGGTTCAACCAACAAACATCCTCTGGAACTCATTCTGTCGATAGAATGCTGTGTTGTGTTGATCATTAGACTGTGTCTAACTTACCAGTAGGTGGATGTTGAACCTAGAGTCAGACACCAGTTGCGCCCTGTCAAGTGATTAAAGTTCTCATTTCGTCAAATTTCCATTATCAGTACACGGCTTGAAGAAGCTATTCATTTTTTCACTCAGAATGACAGGGGTCGTTCACGGCGATAATGGTAACAATAACCGCCATATTTATTTCTTGAGAAGTAATATACACGAATACGGGCTAGTTTTCAGACGTGACCGTTTTGACAATTCAGAGCTATTTATTAGCTTTGGCGGAATCCAATCATTACTCAATGAGGACTGCAGACTTAATAATGAGCGGGCGAAGTGGGCATCTATTCAGTGTCTGTTCAGATTAGTATCGACAGCCTGTAGGTCTTCTTTAGAAAATAAGGGATATACTTCACTACACGGGGTGTTTTACTACACAGCACAGAGGTAATCCGCTTATGCTATCAGAACGAAAAACAGAGACGGGAAAGGTAGTGTTAGGAACCTGTGGATTTTGAAATTTTGTGTGGTCGATAAGGGCACGGAAAGAGGAAGCCAAGAAGTGGCTGTAGGGAGATAACAAGTGTACTCACAATATATCTTTAACGCCCTATATGACGCTGTTTTAATGCTCGAACTCAGGCTACTTTGTGATTAGCTAAAGACTATGACTTTGTCTTGCACTTGAGGACCAGTGTAAGTTTGAGAATGGGTGATAGAACGTGAGGAGAGAAAGCTATTAATGTGGTTTTCATTAAAGGGAAGCTTTAGGGCATATTGAGTGAACTAAGAGAAAATCTAGAATGATGCGCCGGTAGTCAATAATACTTGTTCGGCAGCATGGTTGTTTCCATGGCATAAAACTGCTTTGTGAGAAGGTTTACAAGAGGGAAATGGAGGCAATTAGGCAGTTTGCTTCATTCATGAGCACTGTCTTTGTTGCTTACTACTACTGTGGGTGTAGAAGCATTATTCATACATCTTTTCTACAGGTAGTGGCGGTTTCCCTAAGTCTTAACCCTCAGATAAGCCATCTCCTTCGTTTCACGTTGCTTGAGCATTTTTATGTGATGCTCCACCTTTCGGCTTATCACCAGTATACCCAATCCCGGTGTTTCATGGTTATATAAACTGCGTAAAATCTCCAAATTATTTTCCATACACGGTGGTGAAACTAAAAGGTGAACGCGCCTGGTAGCTTCCCATCTCAGTCTCTCGTAGGGCAAGGCTTCCGGTAGATGCATCGAGAAGGAAGATCGACGAGGTGAGAAATCCTCGTGATAACCCATACAGGGTCGCCAATGCCACATGGTGCAGGGGTGGTGCCATACCTCGGGCAGAGAATGTTCCATCCTCCCCTACCAAAGTAGGCGGAATAAGGTTGGAGTGGAGGGTATCGACGTCAGGAGTAACCCAAGGAGAGATCCTAGGGCCGCTTCTATTCCTCCTGTTCTTCAATGATCTGCCAGACGAAATATCCTCATCCATCGTCCTCTACGCTGACGGCGTGAAAATTTGGAGGGTGGCAAACGAAGGAGCTGACTGTGCAGCACTAAAAAATGACTTGCAGCAACCCAAGCTCGAGTCATCTGAAAATGGCCTGATCTTCAACCTGGAAAAGTGCGAAGTAAAGCACATCAGTAAATATGAAGCAAGTACGACCGACTTCGAGTACATGTTGAGCAACCATGCTATCACCAAAGTGTCCATGGAGAAATATTTGGTGCTCAACTTCTCCGACACTCTGAACGCCAGCTCCAAATACAAAGGTATGGCAACTAGGGTGGATGCCATTCCGCACTTTCTGCGTAGACAGCTTGGCTCCCTCACTCCTGAACTCTTCCTCACCCCTTCCAAATCCTATCAGCAGCCGCATCTAGAGGTCTTCAGTACGGTGGCCTTTAAGTAATATCTACAGTGTCAACCATAGGGTACGACCAGATTCCAATGGCTGGCAACTTCAACGCTCCAATCCTCAGCCTAGAGCAAGGTGGCACAACCCCGAGCAGGAGGTTCGATCCAAATGGCTGGACTGCAGGAAAAAATCAGCGACAACACCCACTGGGGGTCAGATGGTAAACCATCTAGACTGGATTGCCTACTGGCCAACGATAACCCTCTGGTTGAGAACGTTCAGGTACAAACTCCTCTTGGAAGTAGGGATCGCTCTATGGTAGTGTTTGCCCTGGTAATCAGTGAAAAATTTTCATAGGAGGGACCTCGCCCCTACTTCTGTTACAGCTAGGCAAACTACGAAGGTGTAAACAAGAGCCTATCAAGAGCTCCGTGGCCAGTGGGCTGTTGTTCCTTATCGGTCGACCAGCAATGGGAACTGGTAAAAGATGTCATTAAGGCGGCCACCTCACAAAATGCTCCTTTGGCGATAGCAACCGCATGGCCAAAACGGGCACTGAGCGCCTCCTAAAGGCCAAGAGAAGGGCATGGCACACATGGAGACTCTCAAGAGAACAGGACGACCATGATGTATACATGACTCCATGGAATCGAAGCAACATCAGGGAGCAGGGAGACAGGAGGTCGTTCCAGTCCAATCTCGCCAAGAGGCTCGAGGCGAACCCCAAAACCTGTGACGATTCATGGCAGGGAGGAAATCGACAAGCCAGGGAGAATGCGTCATAAAAAGTCCAAACGGAGAAAACCCCTCTAGACGGATTACCGAGATATTGAGCACCACATTTGGTGCACGGCTCAACATTCCGTCAGGAAAGCTCGCATACCAACTGCACGAACGGCCCCCAACGTTACTCGGTGCTGCAGGGTTACACGGAATACAGATAACTCATGCTGTTATTCTCGACAGGTTATCAAGGCTAAGCGCGGGAAAATCCCCAGGGTGCGACAACATCCGTTCATCTGTGTTGAAAGAGTGTGCAAGTACCTTAAATGACCCACGTTTCAATCTCTCTCAACACTGGATGAACGGAGGCTCCCACGAGAGTAGAAAGGGATTGTCCCTTCTCCCATCTTCAAAGGAGACAGGTAGAATCGCAACTATTATAGACCCACGACACTTCCACCAGTAATATCAAAAGTTATGGAAAGTGTGATGGACGACCATGTCAGGGAATATCTGGACAAGAAACAAGCACTCATAGGCACTCAACGTGGATTCCGGATGGGTAGGTCCTGTGCCTCCAACCTCCTGACGGCCCATGATCACTAAACAGCATGCTGGGATCTGAAGGTTCCGGTCCACGCAATTTTTTCCGGACTTCGCCAAAGCCTTCGATAAAGTCTCTCACACAATCCTAATACATAAGATAGCCGGGTGAGGTATACGCAGCCAGGTGCTATCGTGGCTGCAGAACTACTTAGACAATAGGGAGTTCTGCAGGAGAGTCAACAGGGCCTACTCAACCTGGATAACATTCTCATCCAGTGTCTCACAAGGAGCAATCCTGGGTCGACTGTTATTTCTGTTTTTTCGTGAATGACATGCCGCAAACATTAGAGGAATGGGGAACTAACAACGAACTGGCATTTAACCTGGATAAGTGCCGGTTCATGTTTTTCCGCACTCCTGATCCCCAGAAAGTATCTTACTATCTCTGTGGTTCACGTCTATCCCATAACACAGTAGAAAAAGACCTGGGTTTAACCGTGATGGAGAAACTAGACACCAGTTCCAATTACCCACGTGATGTCCCAAAAGCATATGGTGTACTACACCGTGTGTGTAGACAGCTGGATGCCCTAACCCCAGAGCCCTTTCTGAAGCTCTACAAGACTTGCATACGGCCCCACTTAGAGGCACATAACGTCTTCGCTCCACCACGGCTGAAAAGTGGCACTAACCTACTGGAGAAAGTCCAGAGGCGAGCCACAAAAGGTTTTGTTGGAATCCAACGAAAGCCATACGCGGATAGACTGAAAGACGTGGGCCTATACTCTCTTAGCTACCGAAGGTTACGAGGTGACTTGATAATGGCCTACAAAATACTGAATAACCCAAGTCACCCGAAAAAGGGAATTCCGCCGAATGGTCACTGTGGAGATCGTCGAGGAAACCCTAAGAGAATAGCCCACCAAAGGTCAAAAACACATGTGCGTTCACAGTTCTTCTCCCTCCTAGTCTGCTGGTACTGGAACGCACTACCAGCAGAGGTGGTCTCCGCCCCAACTGTTGAAAGCTTCAAGAAGAGGCTAGACAGTCATGCAGGGACTCACGGCCTACCCGTATATAGCTGGAACACGAAGTGATGTCAAGCCACCCCAACTATTTTAACTTTACGGTCAGTTTTCTTTCTACTGTAACCATTTAAGCCCCCTTCATCCCTTCCACTTGCAATGAGTTAGCCTCCCCTACCTACGTTCTTCACATCTTTGCACCCCTCCTCACCTTACTTGGATATAAGTAGATTATTCCATCAACTCACTTTTCCATTCCCCTTTCACTCACACAAATACCTTCCAGGGTTTTTTCTTCACTGTCCGTGACCCTCTCTAGCGACCAGTCCGAACAACTGTCTGGCGACTCGACATCTGAAGAAGCCAACCGCACCACAGTCCAAGGCAAACAAACTAACACTCAACTTCCTGTTCTGTAAATCAGAGCTATAGCAGACGAGTGGCTGGATCTACTACATCGGAATCTGCTAAAGACCCGGGATCATTCCGCAAGACAAAGAAGTGAGGAAGAAGAAGTCAACTGGTGTACACAAGCTCATTAAAAAGATATTGGATATTGGTCTTTCACCCTTGAGCAAGGAATGGTCATCAGGGGTGATATCTAGGTCACAAGATTAGATATCCTAACCGCTGTGTTTAAGCGGTTCAACTACTAAGAAGCCAAGGTGGCACCGGCATTTGAATGTTGGTGTTGCCACTCCTAGGGGTCAGTGGGCTATGTTACTAGGTTAGTACTTGTAATAGGTCCGGACGAAAGTTTTGTATTTACTCAAGAATTTCAGAAACTGACCGCTTATTTTTTCAGCTTAGTCTTTCCCACCTGTCCTCTCTGCTATAAAGGATATTGTAAAGTAATTAATGCCAAAGTTTGGTTAGGAAGCATAATTCTATGGACTTTCGATACCAGAAAAAGTTTATAAGTCCGTCTTTAGGGTATTTCAACGGACCTGGCTGTAATATTCCAGTTAATTTTGGACCAGAGGAGCCTACCAACTGTTCAAATGTGTCTTTAGCTGAAATACAAACAATCCGCAGTCAAGTCATGCTCCCTACCTACCTACCATCAATGTCTTCACCCACACCTATCGCTAACTTACAGCAAAACAACGCTGTACCTTCGCTACCATATGAGAAATACAGCGATAATACTTGTGATTCTGGTAAGGCGTTTGGTAACATGCAAACAATACCAAATGCTCTGCTTGGACCACCACCACCATGCATTCAGCCAGTGGGTTCCAAGTGCTGGTCTAGCTTTTGTCAGCCCCATTATTTTCGTTCATACCCCTATTCCTTGGCACAAAGGCCGTCGAGTTCCTCTTCTCATCGTCACATGCATGGCAAGGCAGTATTTTCGCATGTGAACAATCACTCAAGCACCGAACATGAATCCGCCACCCTACTTACAAAGGTTGTACCTACCAAACTACAAGCGTCTCGGTCGTCATCTAACTGCTCATATGAAAGTGACTTGTTTGAATCGTCACGAAAGCGAAGATCCCTTCCATACGACCGAAATGCTGCGTCCACCAAGTTGGAAGACCGAAGGTGGGGTGTTAGCACGAAACAGGTTCGAAAATATGGACAGGACACCAATCCCTATGAAGTAAAAAGTGAACCGAGGTAGGTATAAAAGTACTTTCTTCTAACTGTATAGCTATGTGTATCACTATGTAGAATGGGTAGTTCTAATAAATATAAGTATCTTTTGAAGGGAATGTTTCTAACCTATCCAACGTCTAAACATTTCAATTTTTCCCCACCAGATCCTCAGGGTCTTGTCGGATTTTAGCAAAGATCTGTGGTTTTAGCGTGACTCCTGTCGATTGATATTTGCCTTCTTGGTGCAGTATCACAAGGATCTCTCTAATCGTACCTGGGAATTGTTAGAATGGACAAGCACGGGGAAGTAACTAACAAAGATCACCAGTACTAACATTAATTCCGTGGGACTTTCCAGCTAGCCTACATCTCAGCAGAAGCCATAATTATACTGGGATTTTCCTACTCACCTTTCATTTGATAGGGTTAGCGAATCAGTACACGGTGTCTGGACGAGGGCATGCTGGCTTTTCATCCTTGTGATACAGTCAAACAACGTGATCATTTGTTTGGTTAGATTTCATCTAGTTCATTTGTATTGGCATATCAAACACCTTGTTTCACTTCTCTACCTGATTGCATTTTGTTTCGTTCATAAACCATGGTAATAAAAAAGTTAAAGATTTGTAGCTGTATGATGTGCATGTATTCCGTGGTACAAAGTTTTACCACACCCCGATTATACATGCTCATCTTTTTTGACATCCAAGCATTCTGAAGTTGATCGGTTTGAATTTGTGTTAAAGGACTGCAGAAATTCGTGTTTTTGTAGCTCATTCATTTGACCCGTAGCAACACATCTCAGCCTCCTGAGTCGATGAAAGTTTAAAACTCTACCAACTGACTTTCATGCTCCACCTAAAACTGTGCATCTGACTAGTGTTGTTTCTACGACATACGGTCGGTGCTACGAAGGGGATCGTAGTCGAACTTTTTAAGCTCAGTAGTGATCATGTTCTACAGCTGTCCACTATAACAGGGAGAACTGTAGCGCAGTACACTTGATCCTCAGTAGGCAATCTGATATCACGCTGGAACCTCACTTTGTTAGCTGGTAAGAGCCGGGTAATCTCTTCATGGGGTTGGAAGATTTCTGTGGTCGATAGCCCACTAGGACTGGTCAAACATCCCAAGAAAGTGAAGAGGTCAATCCTGTCAACGATTTTGCTTCCTATTGTTAGATGGGGTGCCACCTCAGGCCATTTCTGGAACGGCAGTTCGCATTTGAGCAGTAAGAAGTACATCCCATTCTCCAACTGCTACTCCGGACCATCCAAAAAGCTGAGTATCTTGTCGATATTATTACTCACCTGGACTAAATCGTCTGCTTGTTCTAGGCATGTTAAAGAGTTTCTTGCTCCAAGATCATCCCTGATAAAATGAGAGTAAATATTTGTCACTATGGTATCTCATAGTTATACATTTGACTGTTTGTCTGACATAGAACACAGCTACTTAGTACTATTCACTGATAAAATTTTGAGTAGAATTGACTGTTCTTAAATTCAGATGAATAGAGACAAACTTCGACAAGCACGTGTTTGATGACGTTAAATAAGAATGGAGACAGCAGACATCCTTGACGAACACCGCTTGACGTACACAACTCATCTGATACCTGTCGACAGGCTTTTACATATCCATGGGTTATCAAATATTGGGTCTTCCGCGGGGTGATTCACTTACCCGACAGCCATTACAGTGTGAAATACTGCCACAAAACTTCTCGATTGACGGGGTTGAATGCACCTCTCAGGTCGAGAAATACCGCTAATATTTGGATTCTAAGACCTGGCAGAGAATGAAGATCCTGTTGATGCACCCATGACCGGGTCTGGAACCTGCTTGGTTTCCTTGGGCTTGCCTCTCATGAGCTTGAATTGCGCCACTAGTAAGTAAAGAACCTAGAATCTTAAACGGTGTTTGTCAGACTGATTTCTCCATGGTTTTCTATCTTCTTTAAGACTGGGACAATCATCAAAGCAATCTTATCTAATTTCCATACACTAGTTAAAACTCCACTTGATCCAGCTAATATGACCTAGCTGGTGTCTTGAAATACCTCTGGTGCAAGCCCAGAGTCTTCTGGATAGCTTAGGTAGCAAGTTGAAAATGTTGCGTTAGGAATGGTCTTCAATGATACTCCGACTAACAATAGAGAGTAAAGTGGCTAAGCGCGTTGAACACGTCACTTACCTGGGGAGTCGAATCAGCTCTGGTGGTTTAGTGGCCGACGAAATCTCTGCACGAATTCAAAAGGCTTGGTTGGCTTTTGCCAACTGACCCCATCTGTGGTGCCTCCACGATATCCGGTCGTCTATTAAGGGTCGAATGTACTGTGCTGCAGTCCGCTCTGTTCTACTGTGAATGGATGGGAAAGGCATGAGGAAGCTTTAGTTGTCTGATCACCTTTGCCTTTCGTAGCGTAGGACCTGTTTCGTGGTGTCACCACGTGAGTAACACATAAGTCAGGTGTACAGTTTTAGGTAGGAGAAGTAAGACAGTTCTTGCGATTATGAACCTTTATCGATTGAGATTGCTAAGACGTATGCTATGCAGGCCTAGTCACCGTCCACCTCGTTGCACAGTATTGGCCGAAGTAGGTTCAGTCTGGAAAAAGGCTCGGGGCGACCAGACAAAAACATGACATCAGTGCATAAAATCCTTGACTGTTCGTTTGAACCATGTAGGACGATGGAGACTAACTGGTTAGGGTCCGTCAGACAAGAAAAAGTGGTGGTTGGCAACTCTATGTGATATTTCTGGGAACTGATGTCAGTGGTGCAGATGTATACATACATTATCCTCATGTCAACCACTATACTCCTCCCTCTCTTTTACTACTTTCCACTTCTTGTGACCGATTTTTCTTTCCTTCTTCATCTTCCATTTTATTGCTTTGTTACTTGATGTGCTGATATGAGGTGTGGCAATTTGGACCATTGTTCAGTCAGTAACGCCTGGTCCTATGTTGATCTCGGTGGTAATGAAGCCCATCGAAGTGCACTGACATACTTCGTCTAAGGTTGATCCCAGCCTTCTCTACTTCTGCAGAAGGTGACGACCCCACTTTAATATTTACACTGAGTACATGACTAGAAATCAGGCGACTGAACAATAACTTGAGTCTAGTTGAATGTGCATTGACTATCGGTTGATAAGTCAAAGATAGCTGGAAAGCTACTTCTCTAATTTGTACATTCCAATTTTCATCCGATTACCCCCTACTGAGTAAAATACCATCAAGTTTGTCTTATCTTTTAAATTCTTTGGTTATCAGTAGTAAACTGAACACAGCAATACGAACACACAACAAAGTAGTACCAACACGTATACCTGGTTACTATCAATTTTTATGAATTTGCACTCTTTGGATTTCGATGATACGGTCTACCAGTATTATGAATATTGAACAGATTCAATTAATATCGGTCACATATCAAAACTCATCACAAGATTGATACAGGTGTTTTATATTTGACTGAAAATTGGATGTGTTTATTCCCTTACCATATTGGATGAAATGAACAAACCCTTGTGCCTATTCACACTGTGAACTGAGAATAGTGTTTTATGCTCTTTTCCTCTTTAGTTATACAGCTTATATCCTTGCTTTTTCCATATTAATCTTTACTACAATTATATTGGTTAACACTTGCATAATTCTTACTGGTATTGCTGATGTAGGAGTTGTGGCTTGTTAGAATTTTAACCAATGAGTCACGGATTCCAACGCTGCTTTATTTACTGAGGTGATTTGGGTAGCCAGGTAGTATCATTAGCTCTTACGCAATAGATGTGATTCGTTACCTAATTCATGAGTGTATATGTGGTTGCTGAGTGCATTTCCTATTCGATTAGTTTTGTTTACAGAAGTGTTCATGTCAACTTTCCTCTTGTTACAAGTGAATATATCTGCAAGTTGTCATTTACACATTTTCCAAAGTTTTATTCCCTACTCTTCATCATGTTCTTTATGCGTACGGAATTATATTCAAACTGTTCAACTATTCTTTATTCCCTTCTATTTTTATGTCTCTCCTGTCGTTTTGCTATGAGGATGGTGTGTAGCATGCTAACTTCTATGTTGTCACCACTTTTGCAATCTTGACTACCAGTCGAAAGCGAAAACGAAACTTACTCAACCACCTTGTGTACATCCGTGCACTAAGCAATGAGTCACACCCATTGTGTTAGGGTTACTGATACTATCTAGCTGCCTAAACCATCTCGGTAGGTGGAGTAGGGTTCTAACCCATAACTCACTGGTTGATAATCATCTCCTTAAACTACTGAAGCACAGCTTCACTATCAGTCATTGTATAGTATGATTTCACTCCCGGGAAACTTTTCATATCATGATTTTTGCTTTATATAACCGGTTTAGACGTAATATTAAACATGCTTCTTACACTTTATCGAGTAATCATCATTATAAAATCTAGTGTTAAGGTATTGGAATACCTTTCAATTTTTTTATGTAGCTCTTCAAGATTTGATGTGTTCTTGTCTTTTCCAGTTAACTGATGGACTACCAAATTCTAGTTAGTTATACAGATTTAACTTTCTCATCATTAACTTTAAGATTTATGTACTGCCTTTAAGTGTATTCGTTGCAGTTTCTATCAGTCTTTTGGCTACAATTTTTGTATGAGATAAACAGATTAACTTAGATCCTGGCAAACAAGTGCATTAGTTCAATTTATCACACTTTATAACAGTATGCACAGAAAAAGTGAAAATAAAGTGTGGTAATAAGGTTGACAAAAGTGGATGGAAGGAAAACGAATAAATAAATTAAGGGTTTATAAAAATCTTCAAAATAAAATATGATATAGGCACCATTTTAATGGATTTTGATTCCCCAACCAGACAGTTTACACTTCCTTACTTGGCTCAGGCTAACACTTAAAGACTTTATGAATTGGTGGCATGTTCTTATTCATGAAAAAAATCCTAGAGTTGAGTGTAATGTGATACAGTTCGCTGTGTTCTACTGTATGGCTGTGAAACACGATCATTAAAGGTAGAGGGTATGATAAGGCTCGAGGTATTTGACCATTGTTACCTTCAGAGAATAAGCCATGTGTCATGGCGTCACCAGGGGAGTAATGCACAAGTCAGGTGTAGAGTTTTACGAAGGACAGCAAAGTCAGTTGATGAGGTTGTGAGCCTTCATCGAATGCGATGGTTGGGACATGTGTTACGCGTGTTTGGTCACCGTCTGCCTCGTCTCACAATGTTAGCTGAAGTAGGTTCATGCTGGAAAATGGTATCAGTCCATGAAGTCCTTTAGTGTTGGTTTGAACCATATACGGCGATAAAGACTAGCTGGTTAGTATCCACGTGAAGCGAATGGTTGGGGACTCTAGGTGATATGGCTGAGAATTGATGTCAATAGCGCAGATGTATCCACGCTTTATCTTCATCTTAAAAGTTATACCGCATTTCCTCATCCCTGCTTCATCTCTTTTACTGCTTTGACCGATTTTATCGTTTTTTATTTGATATAATGATATGAGGTATGGCAACATGAACCGTTAAACAGTAATGCCCGGTCCTATGTTGATATTGATGATGACTGCGGAAGCATTAGAATTGTTTGATTGCTAGACTTCAATGTTGTGAATTTCGTAAAACAGCCTAGATCGAATTCTTAACCTGAAGTTCACTTTCCATGTGTGTTTTTCAATGCCAGACTATGTGTCAGCCGTAACGATGCACAGTTTTTTTTTAGCTGTTTGCAGTAGAGATAAAAGAATTGCATCAATATGGGGTTTCGAACCTATGTAGTTTGGTGAAACTCATTGCATCTACATGACTTTGTTCCTCACTATAAACATGTTTGTCAAGGTTCCATGTCCTAGCTGGCTGCATATTTTGATCAAAATACTGAGATTATATTTCATGATTCTTGTGAATTGATGTTACCAATGTGTTTTTTTCAACATTTCTTCGTTTAGAAGTAAAAAGTTTCCTAATGATACAACTTTGCCTACTGAAAGCAACCCAAACTCAGAAACATCTTCAAACAATCAAATTCTACCCAGTCATTCTTCTCTGAATGAACCAACTGCCTACATAATGAACCAAATATCTACCTCTGATACTTCATCACAGACAATTGAAACTTCTGATGTGTGCAATACTTTTTGTTCTGGTTTAAATCTAATTTCCACATCTCCAACCTCAATATTAGTTAATCAAACAAAGGATCAGCTAAAAGCAAGTGCTGTATCACCCTTTCAATCATCTTCAAAAACGGTATGTTCTGTCTACTCTAACTAAAAATATACATATGTGACCAGTGTTCATATTTACTGCTTATGTTCATATAGTTTAAGTTGTATTTTATGCATTAAAGAGTTCAGTGTATCTAATCATACGGAAAATTTAACACTGTTGTGTTTAAAACTAAGAGTCAAGGTATTTTATTCATAAATAGATGATGGGATTAGTGAATTTTAATATTTTAGAATGTTAGAGACAAAAAAGAATCACTTTTTTCCAAGTTCCTTACAAATTGACAAGAAAAATAAGCCTAATGAGGTTGTGAGCCTTCATCGAATACGATGGTTGGGACATATTTTACGCGTGTTTAGTCACCGTTTGCTCCGTCACGCAATGTTAGCTGAAGTAGGTTCATCCTGGAAAATGGTATCAGTTCATCTTGCTGTCAAATATAATGACTGAACATATACTATGGGTGTTTTGCCAACAAAATGCTACTTTCTATAATGTATCCTCTTATTTGTGAGAATCATTTATGTAGTATAGAGTTTCTCCAGTTTCATGTTACACCTCACTAGTAGGTAAGATAGAGTTCTCGAAACCTCCTCCGTATGTTTTTTGTCTTAAGGTTAACAAAGTATCTGTGTATGACTTTGCTTAATGATAAGAAGTGTTAGAATCTGTTGACCAACTTACGTCATCTGTGATGTTGACTGGTGAGATATCCGACCATGTATCCAAAGGATGAGTGTACTGCGCTACAGTCTATTCTGCCTTTTAGCTTTGGTTGTTTCGAAAGGTATAGCTGCAGATCTGAAGTGGTTACAGGTCTTCGACCATAAGTGTCTTCGTAGCATTGCTGACGTATAGTGGAATCATCATGTGACCAGTTTTGAGGTAGGTGAAAGCTGCTGGGCGAAGCATGAAATTCAGTCCATGAACCTTGACCGACTGGGATGACTTGGACATGTACTGCACATGTTCAGTCACCGCTTACCTCAACATGAAATGCTGAGAAAAGTTTGATTAAGTTGAAAAAGGGTTCAGGGCGACCTAAGTAAAACGTGACACTAATCCATAAAGTCCCTGTCTGTTAGTCTTAGCCATGTTGGAAGATGTAGACTACGTGGTTGAGGCCACCGAGACGAAAGAAATAAGTGGATCTTTGGTGACATGGCTGGAAATCGGTCACAATGACGCAGGTTTATTTACTCCTTGAAGTCTTCTAAAGCTTGAATATTCTCACTGACCTTCAAAGACCTCTGTCTATTTGGATACCAGTCTTTTTCTATCCATTTGTTCTTTTGTACACTATCGTGAAGTGTTAGAACGCGAAGTAATGTATATGTGCAAGGTTCCACGTTGATCTTGTCTATCTCTCTGTCTATTTTGCTTCGTTGAAGTTTATAGTGCTATCTGTGTATAATGTGCTTATTTCATGATTAATATGATATGAAAAGGGTAACAGTTTCAGCTAATTGAGAGATTTACACTACTCTTGTATCTGTCAATTTATATATCTTACGAAAAAGATTACTTGTCGTTCACTTAGAGACAATGGAATGTTTTGCAATATGAATATGGATTGTTCGGTTTATTGTGTTATAATTTCCAGAATCGATTGTCACCACCTGATGAAAATCAAACCAATAACTGTAAAACTAATATTTCAACCAGTCAACCAATGTCAGTCTCATTGTCTACTAATCAGGGAATACAAATGATTACTAATCGACAAATTATGCCTAATGGGACACCATTGTCTTTTACATCAACTCAACCGAATGGAATGGAATTTGTTATCAGTCCACTTAGTGCTACAACAGGTTATTTACTGTCTTCTTCATCGTATATGGAAAACTTATCAATGACAATCTGGCAATTTTATACTACTACTAAACAGAGTACTTTAAAGTATGCTAAAAAAGTTCACCTACGCAATGCTTTACATTTGGTTGTATCAGGAGTTTTCGAGAGTAAGTGAAGTATATATAAGTCACTTTGTTGTTCAGTATTCATTATTCGCTTAGATTGTATAGTGAAAAGTAACTTGATTGCCATCCTATAGGGAGATGATTAACTCTATTGAATGTAGAGTGTAAATACTCTTGAGGATAGGCAGTTGAAAATAGTTTCAACATCTGATGTGATACACTAAATACTTCAAGAAGTATAAGAAATGGGAAAGAACATCGGGAAAGTTATGAAGAAATACTTAAATTTTGTCAGGTAGTGAGTAGAATTTCCTTGACAGAATCTATGGACCTATAGCTATATGAGAGCAGTTCTAGAAGCCTCTATCTTACCAAGGCGTTCAAGTGATTCATTTATCGTTGTCTTCGAAAGATTGCTGGCAATCGGTGATATAACCATCTAGTTGCGACAGCGCATGCTTTTGGTTAATGGAGGATCGGCATTCGTTGATTGAAGTGATCTTGAAAAATCGACTTCAGTGATATGACTTGGATGTATGTTACGTATATCGTTCTAGCGGCTCACATAAGGCTTACCGTTTGTCAGCTGTGCAGTTGGTTGCAAGAGTCGGTGCATAACAGCTTCATGAGATAAGGGATAGTTCTATGTTTACTTAGCATGTATTAGTGTCTTAAAGCTTCCTGGATGAGGTTCGAAAGATAAAATTATGTTACTTAGTGGCTTAGAACAAAATGGTGTATGGCTTGAGATTCAAATGACTAGTGATCAAATTTCTTGTTGTTTTTCCTATTACTGGAAAGCCCTGAATACTTCTCTAAATATATCTTGGGGAGTGTTTCTTTCATTATCCATCTGCTGTTTTGTTGTATTTACTTTTTCATTCCCTCCTGACTGACAAAATCAACGTACACAGGTGCACTGCCTCACGTTGCCACACTTCACAGTAATACAAAAGAACACTTGAATAGAAAATGAGTGATATCAATGTAGACAGAGTTGTATGGGAGAACAAGCAGTTGAAAGATGAAGGTTAGAGCAAACACTCAAACTTTAGAAGATTCTAAAGAGTGAGTGCATCTACACCACTGTGACCGATTTTCACCCATGTCATCAAGAATCCTTAACCAATGGTTCTTTTTCTTTCGAGGACCCTAACAAGATAGTCTACATATCTGTACACGGCTCACAACAGTACGAGACTTCATCAACTAGTGCTACGTCTTTGTCTGGCCACCCTGAACCCTCTTCTCACTTAATCCAACGTCATGTTAGGCGGTGTATCGGCTAGGCATGTTCAGTACATATCCAAACCATTTCAGTCGACTAAGGTTCACAACTCTAACAATCGACCTGGCTTTCTTGCCTAGTGCTGTTCACCTGATCTCTACATTACTCACACCACGTTTAAGGATGGAAGTTAAGAGAAGACTTCATGTATATCCGACCAGTTGCCTTTGTAGCATAGACTAGGTGTCATAGTACCACTACATGGATAATGCAGAACCCTGGTGTAGAGTCAGTTAATAGGGTTGTGAACCTTTATCGACTCAAGTTGCTGAGACAAGTGTTACGCATGTCTAGTCACCGTGTAATGTTGATTACAGTCTCGGACTGTTGATCTGAGCCATATGGATAAATTTAGACTTACCGATTAGGGTTCGCGTAAAAATTGACATCAGTTGTTGGAAACTCTAGGTGATATAGCTCAAAACCGACTTGAATGGCACTGATGCACTCACATATCATCGTCATTTTAATCCTCCTACTAAATTACGTTGTTTCAATTCTTTTTGTCCTCTTTTTTCGCGACGTTTTACCAATTTAGGTTGCTTTCTTCCTGATTTCTCTACCTTTCATGATGTTTCCTTCTACCTTGGTTTAAGATCTGGCAACAATGGACCGTTACACAGTAATGTCAGGTGGTTTCACGTTGATGTTTACTGGTGTTGACTGATCACAGATGTCTTCGCACCATTACTCTTCTATGGTGGAATCACTATGTGAGAAATGTTGAGGTCAGGTGAACGCCTTCAGGCAAGAAATGCAAGTTGATTATGAAGGTTGTGAAGCTTACTCGACTGAGATGGTTTGGAGATGTACTGCGCATGTCTAACCGATGTTTACTCTAACCTTTATCTTCCAACAACTTTTTCTCACATACAACTCTGTCTACTTTGATATCACGTTGATTTTGTCAGTCAGTTGGGAAACCACTGAAAACCTAGTAGCACTTCACAGCTGTTTCGTCCTAGTATCAGACTCCTACTACGACACCGGCAGGGGTCAAACTCAAGACCTTCAGGCTTCATGACAAATGCGTTAGCCATTCATCCACTGGGTCGAAGATCAATGATCCCAACTGATTTGTATGTATACACATGAAATATGACCTTGTCCGCAAGTTGAGACAGTTGAGTAAGGATTAACCAATCAGCGAACTACACTACAAATGGAGCCAGAACATAGTCATGCTGTCGAAATGGTGTGAAAATGACAAGTCGAAAGTGTTCAGATTTATAACAATGTTTTATGCAAGACTGGGGCCTTCCAACACCTCGCCTCTTTGAAAAGAAAATCAATACCTTCAATTTTTGGGATCCAGTTGGAAACGAACTGTTTGAGACCGCTTCCTATCCGTACATCTTCTGGGTTGAGACTCGTTACTGATTACGGTTTCGGGTTCTTTCAGTGTCGTTGGTATTTTAAATGTATCCAGCAGAGTATCGAGTGGTAAAGTCGGATTTTCTGGTTGGTTGGCTTTTTTGTGACTCATCTGATTCTTGTGTCTCGTCCGTTTCTCCTGATCCACCTTCATGTCATACATCACACTCCCATGACAACACCTTTCGTCCACATATCATGTCCTGGTCTGTAATCTCTTACGTAGATGGAGTCTTAGTGATCCAACTCTCTGGGTTGTTTGTGAACCACGTGATGGTAACATTGCGTGGTGTGGCGTACGTAGCTTCATTCCCATTAAAACGTCCGCCGGAGATTTGCAATCTGGTAGGGCATCATTTGATGTTGAACGATAGATGAATAGAAATTGTTGTATGATATCCGTGTCCCCTCCTCTTTCTGCTTTGAGTGGAGCTTGCTTGAAGGTATCAACAAATCTTTCTACCAGGCCAGATGGTACGGTGGTGTGCGAATATGATGGATTGCATTTACATTGCAAAACTTGGCAAACTCGCGGGAGGTAAATTGTGGCCCGTCATTTGAAACAGTGGTCTCGGGCAACCCATAGTAGATAAAAATATTTTTAAGAGCAGCGATTGTTCAGCGCGATGATACACGCTATACTGCGATGATCTCCGGCCACTTGGAATAAGCATCAACAACAACCAGATAGTAGGTTCCATGTGATGGACCTGCGAAATCGATATGGATTCTAGACCAAGGTCAATCTGGTAATGGCCAACTCTTTGGTGGAAGATGTGAATGATTCTTAGCTGCTTTCTGACATGATGTGCAGCGACTGACAAATTCAGCTATATCAAAATGAATATTGGGGCAATAAGCATAGCTTCTGACGAAGGCTTTCATACGTTCTATTCCTAAATGACCAATGTGAAACTGTTTTAGGACTTTTGCGCGAAGAAACTGGGGGATCACTACACGTTCTCTAAACATGAGGCAGTTGCCGATAACACGAAGGGATTCTCTTCTGCGGGACAGTTGTTTCAGGTCACCGGCAAACGATTTTTATGGTCATTTCGTCTGCACTTAATGTATGGCTTTCTGTAAGATATGTTCCTTGCAGGATTCATTTTCCACTTCAGCCGACGTGACAGGAAGTGCACGGACTGCACTGTCCAGTAGGCGAACTGCATGGTCCTTTGTGGATACTAATGCTGTCACTGTATCTTTGTTAGGGTTCCTCGGGACGTCTGACCGTGCTTCCACTTTGTTACATACCATATTCAATGAAAGGTCGGCGAGTTTTAAACTCTCGAACCAGTCGAGACACAATAGGTTGAGATTAACATCCGTTATATAACAAACCTCATCAAAAGTAGTATTTCTAAATGAAACATAGCAGTGTAATAGACCGGCCAGTTGAAGGTTACCTCCACATGCTGTGATAGCTGCTTGTCTCGTTGTCAACATTTTTGGCTGACCAAGGTTGGACCATAATTCCCGGGAAATCACTGTGATTTCAGACGCTGTATCCACTTGGAGACATGCAAGTTGACCATTTATGTTAAGCGTTATGTACTTCTGCCTTCCATAAATGTACCTTCTTTTTGTTATTCTGTATTTTGTTTGTTTGTCATAATGTTTTTTTACTGATATTATGTTGTTTTCTATTCTGTTACTGCCTCTCTATTCCTGCCTTCGCCTTAGATGCTGGTTTATTTATTGTTGGATCATCGATAAATGGTTTCGGTTCAGATCAAAGTGATATGGATATGTGTTTAACGGTGACATCACGTGATTTGCAACAGAAAACAGAAGCTGCATGTATTTTACGTCAACTATTACCACCTTTAAAAAAGTGTAGTAAGAGTTAACTCATTGAAACTAGTGGATTGTTGTTTTGTTCATCCTTTTTCTCGTTTAATCGCTTGATTGTTAGTTGTTTGTGCCACTTTGAAGGTCATGCTAGCAACTGTTGGAATAGCCAATCAGCTTTCGATATATCGTCTGGGAAGGTCGTTATTTTCAACATGAAGAAACGTGATTTGTTCTTTCGATAGTTGCTTGAGTGACCTTTAAGGTCAATGAATTATTTGAACAAATAACGTTTCAGTGTACTAGTTTGGAGGTTGCTTCATACTGACACAAATGAGTTGACAGCAGTATGGTGGAATCTGGAGTTTACGTTCCATCCTATTCAGGACTCTTTTTTGTCACATATATATGCATCTATCAGCCAGCAGAGCTTAGACTTAGGATTTATTGCGTTATAAACGGTAGTATGTTATGCGTTAGATTACCTAATCGTTTGTCAATGAGCTATTACTTTCCTAGAGAAAGTTTTGGTTTTAAGTTGGTTGGAGGTAATTGACAGGAAGTCCTGAGCTACCTAGGTTTCGTGCTTATTGGCACTCATCAGCAAGGCATATCTTCAATCTCGAGGGGACTGATTTCCCCTTCGGGTTGGAACCCACGTCAAACAGTGTTGCAGGTAGCGATGTTACCCCTTAGCTATTCAGACCTCAACTAACCTCCTGTAGGACTAGATTAGGTATATTGATTAGTCACTGGAGGGTAACCAACTGCATGCTGTCTGGTCTTAAGTGCGCTAACCAGATTTTATCGATTATTTCGAAAATGTAGGTTAGTCAAAGAATTCAAGTTTTAAATGTCTGCACTATTGGTCTCCAGTACATCAACCTACATAGGTCAGACACCTCATGAACTGGTATCACATCTTGATCTTACTTTTGAGAGCCTTTTTTCTTTCAACCTAATCCTACATCTGTTAGCATTTCACGTCGTGGTAGGTTTAGCACATGCGAAACTCATGTCAAAACCATCTCAGTCGGTGATGGTTCACAACCTCATCGACTAACTTGTTAACCCTACCAAGTATCCTTCTCATACGGTAACTTCATCATACATGAGCAATGCTTCAAAGATATCTGTTTTCATCAATCCATAGTCTGTTTTAATTTTAACTGGTACTAGATCCTTTTCTTGGAGTAAAAAATGCATAAGAATACTTTTTTCAATGTTTACTTTCCATGGTTCAAAGAATACTTCTTGAAAATCAAATTATGATGTATAACTGACTATATTGTATAGGGTCAATATACCTGACTGACCACCCTATCATATTTCTAGATGTTATTTTCACATTAATACCTACTGAAAGTAGTTAATGCAATCTCTGCTTCTAGTTATCATTTTCTTTCTCACTAGTCATCAGTAAGGCAATGTCGGCGAATTGAAAACATCATCTCATTCGATTTAAACTGTTGAACTGGTCAACTCTTCTGGCAAGATGTATAAACTTTGTTAACAAGTAGTGATTGAAAGATAGTGTCGATTAACATCAACTGTCAACCAGTATGAATATTAACAATCTGCCAAACCAAAGCTATCCTAGTTACTCTCATTGTTAGTCGTCAGTATGTAGCTCTTGAACTCGAGTTCACCTTGATTTGGATTAGAAAAAGATGAAATGGTTGACTAGCCAGTGTGTGTGTATACACTGAATGGATAGTAATGCACGACAAATTCATATGGTATTAAGGCAAAACCCTTGGTGGTTGAAGTGAAATCGTGCCTTGTAGCTCATTTGGTAGAGTATCGAGTCGAAAACCCCAGTAGTCTCTTGTTCGAACCCCGCCGCGGTTAAAACTTTCATTTTACCTTGAACCATCATCTAGTATCAATACAAGTGTGACAAACCACGGCTATCTCACTCAGGTAGTGAAAATGATAATCAGTATAATGCTCTCCCTCTCGTTCTAATTCAATTATATTTGGAATGGGATGAGAAGTTCTGACTACGGGCAGCCGGTGTGAATATGATCAAGCAGTAGTAACGCTTCACAAATTCATATGGTAGTCGGGAAAAAAGAATGAAAATCTGGTGAGCAGTTGGGCCTCGTAACTCATCTGGTAGAACATTGGGCGGGAAACGGAGTGGTCGCTGGTTCCAATAGGGTCGCGGTTCACCTTCAGCACTTATTCAGCATCAGTATTATGCTTAATGATTGGCGTCAGTCTATCATCTATCATTGTCACTGTTTTTTTTCTTTTGATTTTTTTATATTCCACAGGTTTTATTCATGACTTAAACCTAATTCATGCAAAAGTTCCAATTCTAAAATTTCGTGATACACTCACCGGTGTAGATTGTGATTTAAATGTAAATAATGTTGTTGGCATTTATAACACACATTTGTTGGCTATGTATACAAGAAGTGAGTTGAACTATTATGGACAATTTGTTATCATTGATTGCAAGACGGAATGTAGTAGTAGTAGCAGTAGTAGTAGTAGTAGTAGTAGTAGTAGTAGTAGTAGTAGTAGTAGTAGTAGTAGTAGTAGTAGTAGTAGTAGTAGTAGTAGTAGTAGTAGTAGTAGTAGTAGCAGTAGTAGTAGTAGTAGTAGTAGTGGTAGTAGCAGTAGTAGTGGTAGTAGTAGTAGTAGTAGTATGAGGAGTAGTAGTGGTAGTCATCATCATCAATATCAACATAGGACCAGGCATTACTGCGTAACGGTCCGATTTGCCACACCTCATATCACTACATCAAGTAAAAAGGCAGTGAGGTGCAAGATGAAGATAAGAAAATTCAGTCAAAAGAAATATAAAATACTCAAAGAAAGAAAGAAAGAAAGAATGGCAAAATGGTGAGATTCGGTATAGCGTCGTTAACATGACGATAATGTATGTGGGGATACATCTACACCACTGACATCGGTTTTGAGCCACGTGATCACCTAGAGTCAGTCTCCAACCACTGGTTCCTCTTGTCCCGTGGACCCCAACCACCTAGTCTACATCGTCCCACATGGCTCAAACCAACAGTCAGAGACTTCATACATTGGTGCCATGTTCTAGTCTGACCACCTCGGGCCTACTTCCAGCCTCGACCTACTTCAGCCAACATTGTGTGATGAGGCAATCGGTGACTAGGCATACATAGTACTTGTCCCAACCAGCCATCTCAGTCGATGAAGGTTCACAACCTCGTCAACCGACTTGCTTCTTCTCCATCCCTAAAACTCTACACCTGACTTCTGCGTTACTCACGTGGTGACACCACGGAATATGGCTTATACTACGAAGGCAACGGTGTCAAACACTTGAAGCCAGCTTTCTCATGTCTTCCACATTCACAGTCATACAGTAGAACGGACCGAACTGTTGTGCAGTATATGCGACCCTTAAAAGACAATCGGATATCACAGCGACGCCATAGGTGGCGTAAATTGGCAAAAGCCAGTCGAGCGTTTTATATCCGTGCAGAGGTTTTATCGGCAACTGACCCACTAGGGCTGGTCGTACTTCTGAGGTAAGTGAAGTGGTCGACACACTCAACCACTTCACTCTCTATTTTTAGCCATGGCACCATTGAAGACCAATCCTAGAGCAAAAACTCGCATTTGGGTGGTGAGAAACACATCCCAAACATTCTCAAATTGCTACTCAAAGTATCCAGAAGACTCTGCATCTTGTCAGCGTAATCACCTAACAGGACTATGTCATCTGAGTATTCTAGGTCAAACGAAAATCCTCCTGTGATTAGGTCAACGTCTGTGTAACCAGGTGACAAGAGGCAGAACTCCATTAAAATATTTATGATAAAATTGAATGAGAATGGAGAGAGTGGGCAGCCTTGACGGACACCACTCGGTGAGCATAGCTCCATGGACATCTCACCATAGGCTGTAACACGCCCACAAGTGTTCGAGTAGAAAGGCTTCAATAAGGTAATGTACTTACTCGGCACGCTTTTCAATGAGACATTGCCATAAGACTTCTGGATCAACGGAGTCGAATGGTGCCGCCTTCAGGTCGAGAAATACAGCTATTGTCGGGCTTCGGTAAGTGTGTCTATGTTCCAGGACCAGGCGCAGTGTGAATATTTGGTCGATGCACCCGTGGCCGGGTCTAAATCCTGCCTGGTTTTCTCGGGCTTGCTGTTCCCGAGCTCTACTCAGACGTCGGAGAATTATAGAACCTAGGATCTTGGACACTATGTTCGTCAGGCTGATTCCTCTGTGGTGATAACAAGAGGCCTCATCGCCTTTCTTGAAGACTGGGATAATCAGTGATTCAGACCAGTCGGAGGGGATCGTATTTGATTCCTATATACTGGTTAACACTTCCGTTAACCTGACTAAGAAAGAGCACCTTACCATCATCCTTGTATACCCGCCCTTCCTTGTTTCAGGTTACCTACTGCTTTCTCGACTTCTGCTAGTGTTAGGGGGCCCATCTCAATGTTCCATTCAGGATTGACTGGATAGCGGGCAACACGATGGTGTCTGGAGGCCAGTTAAACTGTTCCTCGAAGTGTTCTGCCCATCGTTCCAGCCGTCTCCTCTGCGAGTGAATCGCAGATCCGTCCTCCGCCTGACTAACTGTTGTTGACGTTTTCCCGCCGGTCTCCTTAGTAAGTCTAAATAACTGTCTACTGTTACCGATCGCCGCTGCCTTTTCCATCTCTTTAGCCTTCGCTGCCCACCACTGTTTGCAATTGTTGCGTAGAGTAGTGGTGGTTGTTGTTATAGTAGTCGGTGACTTGACTTAGTATTGATTATACTCAGGTTTACTGTTTCTCTTAATTGCTTTTATCACAGTCATCACGTAAGATATATATATAGTCAGATCTATACTAACTGGTTAGGTGGAATGAAGTGATTTGCGTGCATATTATAATGTCGTATGATGACGTCAGTGAGGTGGTTGGAACGTCAAGTTTATTGCTGAACACTTGCTTTATCCTACTGTATTACAAACGGAAATCAGCCGCCAGTAAACATCAACATAGCAATTGGCATTATTGTTTAACTGTCGAAGTTACCACACTCTACATCAAGGTAGAGAAATATAGAAATTGAGGAGGAAATATATCAAAAATAGTCGAAAGTTATAACAAAGGAAAAGAGGATAAGAGGGGGAGGTAGGCTTAACATATATCAGAATGTGATATAGCAAGCAAGACAAAGATAATGTGTAAATGTATCTACATCAGCGAAATTGATTATGATGCATGTCATTTAGGGTTTCTAGCCACCCAGCAGGGAAGTCTACATTTGCCTATTTGGCTCACATCAATAGTCAACAATGCCTGATCAACTGACTCCTCTCCTTTACTTTAAAATCTACACTTTACTTCCATTTTAATATTTGTACATGATGATTTGACGAAATGAAGAGTGAAGCACTCAACATGGTTTGATTTATTTCACCATTATCATTACCTCCATGATATTGTTCGCAATGTAGAACATATAGAAGCCTTAGGGAGCTATACTCATCAAGTGGTGTCCGTCAAGGATGCCCACTATCCCCATTCTTATTTAATTTTATCATAGATATTCTTATGGAGGTCTCCCTCTCGTCATCTAATTACACAGACGTTGACCCAATCACAGGTGAATTTTCTTTAGATCTAGAATATGTAGATGATACAGTCCTGTTAGGTGAAGACGCTGACAAGATGCAGAGTCTTCTGAACACTTTGAGTGGGAATTTGAGAATGTTTGGGATGCGATTTTCACCACCGAAATGCAAATGTTTGCTCCAGGACTGGTCTTCAGCGGTGCCCCACCGCGGCTAACAATAGAGAGTGAAGTGGTTGAGTGTGTTGATCACTTCACTTACCTGGGAAGTAGGATCAACCCTGGTGGGTTAGTTGCCGATGAGATTTCTGCTCGGATACAAAAGGCTCGATTGGCTTTTGCCAATTTGCGCCACCTATGGCGCCGCCGTGATATTCGTTTGTCTATTAAGGGTGGCGTGTACTGCACAGCAGTCCGCTCTGTTCTACTCTATGGCTGTGAAACATGGCCATTGAAAGTGGAGGATACAAAAAGACTTCAGGTGTTTGACCACAGTTGCCTTCGTAGTATAGGACGTATTCCGTGGTGTCACCATGTGAGTAATGCAGAAGTTAGGTGTAGAGTTTTGGGGAGTAGAGGTAAGTCAGTTGACGAGGCTGTGAACCTTCATCGACTGAGATGGTTGGGACACGTACTACTTATGCCTAGTCACTGATTGCCTTGTCACACAATGTTGGCTGAAGTGGGTCCATGCTGGAAGTAGGCCCGAGGTGGCCAGACTAGAACATGGCACCAATGTATGAAGTCTCTGACTGTTGGTTTGAGCCATGTGGGACGATGTAGACTAGGTGGTTGGGGTCCACGGGACAAGAGGAACCAGTGGTTGGAGACCCTAGGTGATATGGCTGAGAACCGAAGTCAGTGGCGCAGATGTATACGCACATTTTCCTCATCTTAACAACGCTATACCGAATCACACCATTTTGTCACTCCTCTTTCCTTTCTTCTCGTACTCTATATTTCTTTTGACTGCATTCACTTATCTTCATCTTGCACCTCACTACCTTTTTACTTGATGTGCTGATATGAGGTGTGGCAACTCGGACCGTGAGGCAGTAATGCCTGGTTCTATGTTGATAATGATGATGATGAGTGATCGAAGTGAAATAAAAATGTGGTTATTAGTTGAGTCTGGTAGATTATTTGGTAGAGCATCAGGCTGGAAACTCAGGTGAGATGAAAATCTGGACCGCGGCCGGATTCAAACCAGCAACCAAAGGGATGGTCATGCAAAAGATGATATAATCTTCTGTAATGTATCTCATGTGTCTGTTTCACCTTTTCTGATTAGTCTATTACTCTGCCTTTATATATTCATCAGGCTGTTATACTGTATTATGCAACCACCAGTAAACATTTATGACAATTCGATACTCCCTAACATTCAAGTTGAGTGCCTAGTTTTACGGAGAGAGAGAGAGAGAGAGGGAGAGGCAACCCAATCCAACTTTGTCTAGTTGACACGTTGAGGTAGGCGGTGATTTGGCGGCATGGGCAGTCCATGTTCAAGTCATTTCAGTCGACTAAGGTTCACAACCTCATCAATCGACTTGTCTTTCTTGTCCAGTGCCATTCACCTGACTTCAACATTGCTCACACGATGATTCTGACAAACACAAGCAGTGAACAAAAAAACACCTGCAACCGCCTCTTATCGACTACTTTTAACGATCATGTGTCACAGCCGTACAAGAGGACAGAATAGACTGCAGCTCAGTCTACTCGTGGAATATCTCACCGGCGCCACGGGTGACACAAATTAGGAAATGCTTATTGTATCCGAGGCGACATTTCGTCACCAACCAGCCTATTCGGGCTGGTCGACACATGACAGCACTTCACTCCTTATCTTTAAATTGAGAGTACTTGCAGCAGAACAGTCATAGAGCATCATCCTACATTTGACAGGTGTCAGCGAAACTCATGCCAAACATACTCATATTTCTGTTCAACGTATTCAGAAGACCTTGAATTTTGTCAGCGTCTTCATCCAGCACGACAGTATCGTCTGCCTACTGCAAGTCAACCAGATGAGCTCTAGGTAGTAGGTCAATCCCTGTGAAGTCAGACATACCTAAGGTTATGTCCATTAGTACGTCTGTGACGAAGTTAAATAGGTATGTTGGCAGTGGATATCCTTGGCAAACACCACTAGTTGTCATGAATCCAGTATTTCAGGGTTTCACCTTTGTTTTTCATTGATTTCGGTGATATCAACCACCATATGCATTACTATAGATGGATTAGACTATTACAATCTTTGAGTTTAAAAACATACTACTTATGAGTAATTAATGTTTTATGTGCGCAGTTTCTCTTCTCTGTTAGTTATCTGATTGGTTGGGGGTAATGAGTTGGCATTCAACCATATTGAAGATGTCATTTTCACCCTTTACTAACTTTCGCTAACTGTACAAAAATAATGTTTAGTTTAGTTGTCATTAAACGAAGTCTTCAGACTGTCGGGTGCGTTAAATCATGTGAATTTCACCTTACAAAGAATTAAATTATGGAGACCATCAGAGGGGGGTAAAACTTCATAATTTCAACAATTCTCATCTCATACTGGTGTAAGGTGGATAGTTATGGAGAAAGAAAGACCAGGAGTAAACAACTACTTTGTTCTACTTCGTGACTTCTCAGCTATGCACATCGCCGACTTTATTTGTGATTGATTCAGCACAGCGTGCTACCATGTTAAAATGCAATGCATCATATTTAGTAAATTCTCAGTCCTTTTTTTTTTCATGTACTGTACTTACTGAAGGTGTGTGTCTACCAATTTCATAAATCAACTAAGTCTGGAATGTATAGACTACTTCGAGTCTCCCTCTCGTCATCTGACATCACAGGGATGGGTCTAATCACAGGAGACTCCTTGGTAGGTCTGGAGTAGGCGGATGAAAGAGTTCTGTGAGGTGAAGACTCTCTGACAAGATACACAGTCTTCTGGATAGATTGAATGGCAAATTGAGAATGTTTAGGATGCGTTTCCCGCCACTCAAATGCAAATTGTTGTTCCAGAACTGGTCTTCAGCAATGTGACGGCTAACTATAGGGAGTGAAGTGGTTGAGTGAGTTGAACACTTCATTTGCTTGGGAAGTTGGATCAACCCTGGTGGTTCACTTGACTTTCACCAACTTATACCACTTGTTGAAGCGCCAAGATATCTGTTCATCTATTAAAGGTTGAGTGTACTGGGTTACTGTTCGCTGTGTTCTACTGTATACTTGTGAAACATGGCCATTAAAGGTAGAAGACACGAGAAAGCTTCAGGTGTTTGACCACCGTTGCCTTTCGTAGAGTAGGACATGTTTTGTGGTGTCATCACGTGAATAACGTATAAGTCAAGTGTAGAGTTTTAAGTAGGAGAAGTAAGACAGTTGATGCGATTGTGAACCTTCATCGGCTGGAGGTGGTTGGGACATGTGTTACGCAGGCCTAGCCACCGTTCGCCTCGTTGCGCAATGTTTGCTGAAGTAGATCCACACTGTAACATGTCTCAGGATGACCAGACTAAAACATGGTATCAATGCATGAAGTTTTTGACTGTTAGTTTGAGCCGTGTAAGGCGATACAGACTAGCCTGTTGTGGTCCACGAAACGAGAGATCGATGGTTGGAGACTCTGGGTGATGTGACTCAGAACCGATATCAGTGGTACAGATGTTTACACACGTTCACCTCATCTTAACTACTATACTTAATCTCATCTTTTTCTCATTCCTCTTTCCTCTCTTAAGCGATCTTTCTTTCTCTCCCATCTTCTTGTTTTGTTACTTGATGTGCTGATATGATGAGGTGTGACAACTTGAACTGTTACACAGTAATATCTGGTGTTATGTTGACATTGATCAATTGGTCTGATTGGATTCTGATTTATTGATATTTTTTCCCAAAATTTTTTTTAGTTGATTGGCGTGTTCGACCATTGGGAATATTTATCAAATATTGGGCTCAACGTATGGATATTCATGATGGTAAACGAGGTCGTCTATCCACATATCCTCTACTTCTAATGCTTATTCAATATCTTCAAACGTCATGCTCACCGCCAATCTTACCTAATTTACAGGCGAAATATCCAGTATGTGTGGGTGTGTGTGTGTCTGAGCACACTCTTTTCCCCTTTTCACATATTGATCATTGGTTTCACTTGTGCTTTCGTTTTAGTTCTATTTTTTTAGCGGTTCGCACCATTCAAATGTAAGATGATACTCCAGAGTAGGTCTGGACCTATTCCTTACTGTCAAGATCGACAGTGAAGTGGTTGAATACGTCAATTTGATTGGACTGGTTGCTGACGAAACCTCATCTTCGATACTTGGGTGTTCGCTGGTTCTGATTGACGAGATATCTGATTATACTGTGCTTCTGTCCATTCTCTCATGTCATACGGTTAAAAGAGACATGGCCGTTAAGAGTAGTAGACATGAAGCGGTTACAGGTTATCGATAACAAGTGTGGAATCATCGTGTGATCAATGTTGAAGTCAGGCGATGGGTACTGGTCAAGATCGGTAAAGGTTTGGACCTTCATCGACTGGGTCGGCTCGGATATGTACTCAGCATGTCGATGTCCAATGCTAGGTGAAGTTGGATGAGGGTCCAGCGTGACCAGACTGAGACGTGGCACCAGTCGATAAAGCTTGTTACTGTTGGTCTAAGTCGAGTGGGGAGGTGTAGACCGAGACGACAGGAATCAGTAGTTGAAAACTCTTGGGGACAATAGTGCAGATGTATTCAATCTTTGACATCATCTTAAGCTTGAATATTTACATTAACTGTTATCTTCAAATTGTTTTTTCTCTTCCACAACTTTGCCTGCTTTAATATCAATCCACCTGTTCTTTGTGTTGTAGTGGTAACTTGTGGTTGTGCACTTGTGTTCAAGATTTCTACGTTGACTTCACCTATCTATCTGTCTATTTCTCTTTAAAATGGAGTATTATCTCTTTTTTTTTCTTCTAAACAGTTAGTAATTCCTGTTGTGACGTTCTACAGTTATCCGCTTGACTTTTGGATACGGTAGAATTGTCTGATGATGAATAAATCGTTGTATGAAAAGGTGATAATATCATACAAAATCATCTAAAGTGTTTCAAATAATTGATTATCGGTAGTTAGTCTACAAATGATCACGTAGAAAGAAAATGAAAAATTCACTTGATAATTTATACCATTACGCTTACTATTGAGAACGTTTCCAATTTTACAGTTCCACATAGATATCAAAATCGGAGATAAATTGATTGCAAAGATTTTCGTTAGGAAAGTTTAAAAGTTGTTAGAGGTGACAAAGTGTTCATGTTTGCCGGTAAGCAGGTTCTGAGAGGAAGGGGGCGGGGGGTTAAAGTGTTCGACAACTGTTGCTTTTGTAGCATAATGGCTGTATGTTATAGTTCCACCGCATCAGTAATGCAGACATTAGGTATAGATAATTTAGTTGGTTGTGGCTAGCAGACTAATCCAGGACGCGCGTTTCGTCCTATTTGGGACTTGTCAGCCGGATTTACCTGCACCCCAGTGATTTTGTTTCCACTGATACTCGGATCTCGTAACCATCGCTTCAAATTATTTATTATTATTATTATTTGTCCCTTGGGTTCCTAGTGGAACATAGGGCTTCAGTAGCATGTCTCCATTCCACTCTCTTCTCTGCAATCTTTTGAACCTGGCTCCAAGGCAGCTCGAAAACTCTCATTTCTTCCTCACACGATCTCCTCCATGTCACCCTCACCTCGGAAGCTCAACTCATCGTTTCCCATCTGGGTTCCACTCTAGTGCCTGACCTGGTGCTTGATGTCCCCAGTAGGCCTTCTCAGTGTATGCCCAATCCATCTCCACTTCATTCTGCATATTTGTTGAGCAATAGGTTCTTTGTTGGTCCGTTGCCACAGTATGGAGTGAGCGTAGGCAGTTGTTGATGAATGTCTGTAGTTTGTTGGAAATGCTTTTCATGACGCGCCAAGTTTCTGAGCCTTATGGAAGCACTGGCTTGACTAACATTAGTGTTGAAAATCAAGATGTTGTTCACGCTTTATGCTGAGTGCAGTAGATCTCTTCACTGGTTTCAAGTTAATGAACACCTGTCTTGCTATCTTTCCGATCCTGGCTGGCTTTGATGTCCTCGTCTATGCCGCCTGTAGTTGAAACAATTCTTCCTTGGTGGGTAGGTGAAAGAGACTACTTCTTTTAAGTTTCTCCCGTTGATGGTAATTGTAGTTTGTTGTTGCTGTTGTTGTTGGTTGGGTATCTTCATCATCACCTCTGTCTTCCCTACGTTCACTTGAAGTCCCGTCTTCGCTGCCCTGCTTCTTCTGTCAACTTGTTAGTTTTCGCCTGTACATCTTCAAGTTTGTGTAACATTAGACACAAGCCATCATCGGCGAAATCCAAATCTTCAAGGTTCTTTTCCGCGGTCCAGCGTTTCCCCATCTCGCTCTTCACTTTTGTCTGCTGCATGATTCAGTCGACCACAATGAGGAAGATCATGCGTGACAGTAGACAGCCTTGTTTTACTCCTGTCTTCACTTCAAAGGCATCACTGAGCTTTCCATTATGAATTACTTGGCATGTAGAGTCTTCATATAGTTATAGAATGAGGTTGATAAGGATTTGTGGTATTGTGTAGTGTTGAACTAGGTGCTTGCCAAATTGCTTGTCGGTCGACGTTGTCGAAGGCCTTTTCAAAGTGGATGAAGTTGAGGTAGAGAGTTGACTGACATTCTATGCTCTGTTCTATGATGATGCGCAGTGTAGCGTCGTAATTTGGTCCGCACATGATTTGTACTTCCTGAATGCACCCTGTTCCGGTCGTAGTTTTGAATCCAGCGCATCCCTAAGTCATCGCTACAAATGCCAAGGCGTTTGCCACTAATCAACGGAGGAACGATACCCACTTCTCATACAACGGGTGGTGGTTATTACTATTTGTTGAAAAAAGAAACAACGGAGAATAACAAGTATGTCAATAAAAAAAAACAACTAGGTATAGAGTTTATTATAAACGAAGGAAGTCATTTAGTGAAGTTGTGAACAATATTAGTTTGAATAGGTTCAGACTAAGGAAAGGTTAGAGGTTGCCAGACTAAAACATGACATCATTTCATGAAATATATGACTTTTATTCTGAGCTATATATGCTAATGTAAACTTCCTGGTTAAGGTCCACGTAATCACTGAAACCAATTGTTGAAGATCGTAGGTGATATGATTCAGTATTGATCTTATTGGGGCAGATACATCTAAGCATATTGTCTTCACTTGGTGTTTGCTTTGTGTTGCTTTCTACTGCTTCATTTCTCTCTTTTCTCATCTTGATGCTTTTCTGCCTTGATATATGCTAATGTTACAGTGTGATAACTGAGACTTGGAAGTGGATAATTTTAAGTTCCATGGTGATGCTGGTTATTGGTGAATTTCTGTGGATATCTATTATCACGGAGGGAATTTCCAACAATAGTCATTTCTATAGTAATGATGGGGAGTGGCTAGCAGTGGAATCCAGGATGCGCATTTCGTTCTATTTGGGACACGTTAGCTGGATGTACCTGCCTCCCAGTGAGTGATGTTATTCCCACCGGGACTTGGACTCGAGAGCGATCACTTCAAACGCGAGGGCGTTATCCACTTTACCACCGAGCCACGATAGCCACTTCTTGTGCGACGGGTATAGGTTTAGTGTTATTGCTTGTGTAGTGGATAACGCTCTTGCGTTTGTAGCGATCACTGTCGAGTCCCAGTCCCGGTGGGAATAACATCACTCACTGGGAGGCAGGTACATCCAGCTGACGAGTCCCAAATAGGTCGAGATGCGCATCCTTGATTCCACTGCTCATCACTACTATACATAGTTAAAAGACAGGTAATATCAAGGCATCCGCACAGGAGCCCATATGCCAACAGAGACTGATCAATTTGGTCCAACCAACGACGGTGTAATACAAGCAATGATACTAAATAGTCATTTCTTGCTGATTACTTCTAACTGACTAACACACATCATAGTGTACCGTGATGCTGAGCCTCTTAGTTTGGTAGCCAAGCAACGTATCTAATCCAGTTTTATAGGGAGTCAATCATGCCTTGAATAGCTCACTGATAACATCGCTGAATGTAGCATTCAATGAAATGGGTTTGAATGTCCTACAGGACATCAGTTTTTTCGAAGTTGCAGATAGGTCTTGTTAACGAGTCCCCAACAAGCACAAAACAGGGTTTCCTTCTGATTCCCTCTCACCAACTAACAGTCTTTTTCTTTTCCAGTGTCTCTTTTGAAGAAAGATACCTTCTGAGATTGAAAGTGTTTTCACCAACCGTTTCTTATAACTAAGGGGACAAATACTGTTAAAGTTAACATATATTCCGCTCAAAAACTCTCAAGTTTAATACAGTGTACTATTACCATCGTTCAATATAATTGATAAACAGATAAATTGGAAATTCGTTATGCTTCACGATAGCGGTAACCTTGTAAACGATTAAAACCGAACTTATGGAGTGACTTTTAAGGTCATCCTAACAACAACTGAAATAACCAATCAGGTTTGTTTATTTCGGCTGGAAAGGTAGACTTCGATAAAATAGAGAAATCCAATTGGTTAATTTAGCTGTTAGTATGATGGCCTTTAACAATGTATATATTTGTGTCTATGTGATATACTTTCAAGTTTATTAGCAGGAGGTCCCAATTATTCATCTATGATGCCTTGAAAACCTCAACCAGCTGAGGAACTTAGAGATTTATCAGCATCGTTTGAATTAACAATGAGGCATGTTATGTTATCGTTTACTGATAACTTACTCAACCGTATACTAAGCTGTGAACCAAACATATTGAATATATTGGCGTAGATCTCTAGCCAGTATGAAGTAAGGGGAATAGGATTAAAATTCATGATTATCATAGTTGAAAGTAGATTACTTCAGCTTACGTATCACATCTCTATGTTTTGAACATGCTTAACCTAATTTCAATTTAATCTCAGAGTTAACCTACCATTTTTATGTTTCAAATCATTACTATTATTGTCTAGTCACCATCTGGTTTGTTACGCAATGTTAACTGAAGTTGATTCAAGCTGGAAAAAGGCATTTTATTCCATGAAGTTCTTGACCATTGATCTGAGTCGTATAAAGGAGATAGATACAGACTAGTCGGTTATGCTTGTAGACTCTAGGTAACATGGTGCAGTCCCCCCCCCCTCCCCCACAGACACACACACTATCTTCATCTTAGTCATCATACCGAATTCAGTATTTTCCTATTCTTCCTTATTATCTTATCACGATTTTCTACCATTTTTGACAGTATGATGTGTACCCGTCATTTGAACGGATATTTATACACTGGTTTCTCAGGAGAGAACAGAATAAACATCTAGGCTTTTTAAAACCCCGACGGTACACAGTCTCATCCTGTGGTGCAACCATTCAGGTGCCTTCAGCCCGGTGGACCAATGCAGAAGTCAGGTATAGAGTTTTAGGGAGTAGAGGTAAATCAGTTGACGAGGTTATGAACCTTCATCGATTGAGATGGCTGGTTGGGACAAGTACTACTTATGCCTGGTCACCGATTGCCTCGTCACACAATGTTGGCTGAAGTAGGTCGAGGCTGGAAGTAGGCCCGAGTTGGCCACACTAAAACATGGCACCAATGTATGGAATACTTGACTGTTGGTATGAGCCATGTGGGGCGATGCAGACTAGACTAGGTGGTTGGGGTCCACGGGACAAGAGGAACCAGTGGTTGGAGACTGACTCTAGGTGATCATGTGGCTCAAAACCGATGTCAGTGGTGTAGATGTATCCCCACATACATTATCGTCATGTTAACGACGCTATACCGAATCTCACCATTTTGCCATTCTTTCTTTGAGTATTTTATATTTATTTTGACTGAATTTTCTTAACTTCATCTTGCAGCTCACTGCCTTTTTACTTGATGTAGTGATATGAGGTGTGGCAACTCGGACCGTTACGCAGTAATGCCTGGTCCTATGTTGATATTGGTTGATTGATTGACCATTTTTGACAGATTTCCTTCATTTAAGTGCTTTCTCACTTAATGTTCTGAAATGAGATGTGGTGTATTCAACCACTATGCAGTAATATCTAGTTATATGTTCATCTTATCTATCTATCTATCTCTCCATCTTCGTTGAAATACAAGCTTTTTTTTGTCTACATCTTGAATATTTGTTGAAGTAAACTCTTTAGGTGATTATCTCTGAGTTTCTCCTGGTCCTCTGATTTATTGGTTCCATCATTTTGATCAAATAAAGAACTTGACGGTAGTACACAGTTGTTTCGTCCCAATCTGGTGATCTTCAGCAGTGCGGGGTCGAATCCAAGGCCATCAAATCTCGTGGCTGGCATGTTATCACTCAGTCGATTCCTGATTAAACTATTTTCCTTGTTACAATCAGTTAATCTCTAAATTAGATTCTGTATTTATCTGAAAACTTTATTATAAAACATATGCAATTCCTTCCACTTGTTTACATTACATTTTTATCTGTGCACAAACTTTATCTTGTCAATACTCCAGTGTCAAATTAAGCATCATTAACTATACAAATCCAAAGAGATGGGACACAGTTAGTTAAAGGTTAGCCTAACAACCGTTAAGATAACCAATTATGGTTCTTTACTTTCATACCGAAGTAACTTCTTAACCGAAATCCTGAAATCTGATTGGAAAATTTTAGCAGTTACTAAAATCAATACGTTTTGAAGTGATAGCGAACAGAATTTGAATGAAATTGGTCGATTCTGTTCACCACAGTGTTCGAAAGTACTTGCTTCACCTCGAATGGATGGATTTCACTATCTTACTTGAATAAACTAAGAGTGGAATTCGTCACAGGCTGATATCAGTTGTAGGAACATTGGAAACCTGGGAACACTGGATATCCTAGTATGGAACTTCTCAGCAGTGCGCATTCATGACCCCGCTAGGGATACATATTTCCTGCTTCCTCCGAAAACCTCCAGATTGAATTAATCTTGTGCTTATTGGTGACTAGCTTCAAGAAGTCATTCCCGAAGTTCCAATGTGGAGGAGTAGTAACCAATGGACATTGAATATACGTCGCGCTGTATCGTGAATTGACAGAAGTAGGAGATGTGGACGACTGGATTTCGACCCAGTGGCTAGCCTAATGGTAACATGGTGGTCACGCAGCCTAAACGTCGTAGGTTCGATCCATGATGAAATAAGGACATGGGTATGCAGTGCTGAGGAGTCCCACAGTAGGGTGAAACAGCTGTCCAATCCTCTTGGGTTTCAGATGTTCCTCCATAAACCTCCTGGATGAAATTTACTTGTTCAGTTAAAGTTCTAGATGTTTCCAGTGTATAAAAATCATCTATGATATCCTTTCTCTTTTTCTTATTTATTGTGTTTATACAAAGAAAATATTCAACTATACTAGACCATTGTGTGAATTAGATATGCGTCTTGAACTACCATGGGCTGAGTTACGTTCTAATAATCCTGCTAGTTTAGCTGAATTATTTACTGGATTTATTCATTATTATACAAATGAATTCAATTTTAATCAATGGGCTATTTCTATACGACATGGAGCACCTTTACCAATAGATTTAGCTATTAAACATTTACCACCTCATGAACAAGAGTATACTGCTAGAAATTTTAAAGTTTTTGTTGAGGGTAAGTTGTTGTTGATATTGTTTCATTTTCTTCATATAATAATGATGAGTTTTTATCTTTATGAATGATTTGTGATGGTTTATTGATTTCAAGGTGCTGTCAATCAATATCAACATAGGACCAGGCATTACTGCGTAACGGTCCAACTTGCCATCGCACCTCATATCAGTACATCAAGTAGAAAGGTAGTGAGGTGGAGGATGAAGATGAGAAAATTCAGTCGATTCTGAGCTATATCACCTATAGTCTCCAACCACTGGTTCCTTTTGTCCCGTGGACCCCAACCACCTAGTCTGCATCGCCCCACATGGTTCAAACCAATAGTCGGAGACTTCATACATTGGTGTCATATTTTAGTGTGGCCACCTCGGGCCTACTTCCAGCCTCGACCTACTTCAGCCAACATTGTGTGACGAGGCAATCGGTGACTAGGTGTACATAGTACGTGTCCCAACCAGCCATTTCAATCGATGAAGGCTCATAACCTCGTCAACTTGTTTTACCTCTACTCCCTAAAACTCTTTACCTGATTTCTGCATTACTCACGTGATGACACCACGGAATATGGCCCATACTACGAAGGCAACGGTGGTCAAACGCTTGATGTTCATCAGTTGAAGACCTGGGAGCACTAGATCTGCTGTTTCGTCGTAGTACGGAAGTCGTTAACAGTACGCATGTACAATGCAGCCAGGAACCGAATTCCATGACCTCCAGGTTCCACGCTGATCATGTTGCCATTGAGCTACTACGTTGGAATCCGATGGTTCACATTTTTTTTCAGTTTGTTCCATGTCGGTAATATACACACTGTCGAGATATCTAACTACACTTCAGTTCATTCTGTCCTGGTTGTATAACTGTGAGACGTGGCCATTGAAAGTTGAAGACATAAAGCGATTACAGAGTTTTGATCACAAATGTCTTCGTACCACTGCTCGCGTTTAGGTGGAATCATCGTGTGATCAATATTGGGGTCAGGTAGAGAGTATTAAGCAAAATAGGCAAATCGTGGATTGATGAGGTTGGAACCTTGGTCGAATTAGATGGCTTCGACGTGTGTTGCGTATACCGAGTCACCACCTGAGAAAAGTTGGATTAGGTTGGGAGTGGGTTCAGGGTTACCAGATCAAGACGTGGCATCAGTCACTGAAGCCTGTTATTGTTAGTCTAAGTTGTATAGTGTGATGTAGACTGCCTGACTGGCTGATGTCCACGAGATGAAAGGAACTAGAGGTTGAAGGTCATGCTCCAGTGGCCCACTGGATAACGCCTTGGCGTTTGAAGCGATAGCACTGGGTTCGGGCTTAGGAGGAGGTTGCATCAGTCACTAGAGTGTAGGTACATCAACTGACGAGTTTCAAGTAGGACGAGACGCTCATCTTCAATTCCACTGCTAGTCACTGAGATGAATATAACATGGTGCAGACGCCTCGACTTCTTGACATCTTCTGAAGCTTGTATATTTGGACTAGCCTGTTTCTTCGAATTCATTCAGCCATTCACTATTATACACTTCAGTTTTAAGTTAAAGCTTAAACAAGATTCCTTTGTAAAACTTATAATTACTTTCAAAAAAGGATGATTCAGTAATCACACCTGATTCCTGCATTAGACAGTGTTTTGACTTAAGTGTATGACAAATTACACAAGAAAACCCCCGGATATCTTTTCAAGAAAGTCCAGTACATATTTTATTCACAGGGGAATCATGCTTAATGAAACAGACTTGGATATATTTACTGATGAAGTTTTAGACAACACTATCAATAATATCACAAGTTATCTCAGATTCTATTTTGAAAAATGCTGCTTTGCTAAAACAATCTACATGTGATTCGACAGACTTTCCTCTCCTCATCTTAAAAGATTCCTGAGAGCAAAGGAAAAGTTGTAAAAGACAAGAGATCACCCTGGCGTTAAAAAACTTAACTGCCTAATTGAGTCTGCAATACAACGTCTAATTGCTATATACAACCAGAAGTTTCAGTTATGTAAGAACTCTTCCAATATGTGGAAATCATTTCAAGAGTTTACTGGTAGAAAACAGATGATAAAAGATGCTTGTTTGGATGTCTACACATTAAACAAGCCATTCAATAAGTCAGCAAGCTCATTTCATTCTTTCCAGTGTCCTGGTTTTAATACACATAACTTGTGTTTAGATGTCTTACGTCTTTGAATTCATCCAAAAGTTTAGGTTCAGTGTGGCGATCTACTACACTGCACTCAGTATAAAGAAGAAGATCCGGATTTTCAACACTAATGTCGGTCGCGTCAGTGCTTTTATATGATGGTTCAGAGACATACATCAACAGCAACAAGGAACTCCGATGTAGCAACGAACCAACCAACAACCAGTCACCTAACATATATGCAGAAGAAAGTGGACATGGATCGGTCATACACTGATGAAGACTATTTGGGGATATTATTTGCCAGACCTTGTAGTGGAACCTGAGTAGGAAACGACGAGTTTGGTGTCCAACGGTGATATGGAGGAGATGGTGGTGTGAGGAAGAAATGAAAGGTTATGGACAGATTAAGAAGACTGCAGAGAACAGAGTAAAATGGCAACATGCTATTGAAGGCCTATGTCCCAGCAGGAACCTAAAGGACAAAATAATGAAGTAATAACAAATAAAATAGAATACGGCATACAAGTGCAGCAGGACACATTGGCACACTCCACAGTAGCCTGCAAATACCAAGCGGGTAGAAAAAGATTGACAACAAAGCAGACAAAGGTGTAAGGGACAAGAAGGAATTTGAAAAGAAAGATTAGTGTACATGTTCAAGCTTCAGATGTCAAACAGTGAATACATTTGCACCATCTCGACCGATTTTCAGCCATGTCACCAAGAGTCCTTAACCATTGATTCCTATCATTTTGAGGAACCCAACCAGTCAATCTACACCTCCCTACATACATCAACAATCAGAGACTTCATGGATTGGTGCTATATCCCCGTCTAGTCCTTCAGAGCCGTAATTCAACTTCAGATAACATTGCACATCAAGATGGTTAGTGGTTGAGGATCCCCAAGGTATGTCCAAATCACCTCAGTTGCTGAAGGTTCATAATCTCATCCAACCTAACCTCGACTTTGTTTAAATTACATAACATTGTACGCGCTTACAGCCAAGTACAAGAATTCCACCTATACCTTAACCTGGCACGTATATTATGTGAGGAAAAAAACAGTTATTAGAACAGAACTCACTTATTAATAATCTAATTAACTATCATTTGACTATTTGAGATGGTCGTAGTTTGGCAGACTAGTATTTATACTGGGTGATGATTGAAGGTGAAATGATAATTTGAACTGCTGCCGGATTCGAACCAGAAACCACTTGGTTGGGAACCTAATGGCTCAGTTGGTAGAGCATCGGGCTGGGAATCTGTTGGTCACTGGTTCGAATCTGGTCGCAGTTCAAATTTTCATTTCCTCTTCAATCAATGGAAATATTCTGTCAGCCGGATACACCTGCACTCCAGTGATGTTGTTTCCACTGAGACTCGAACCCCGTACCCATCGCTTCGAACGTCAGGGCGTTATCCACTATGCCGCAGAGGAACGATAGCTACTTCTTGTACAACAGGTAGTAGTTATTACTATTTATTGACCTACTTATTATTCTCCGTTGTTTTGTTGGATCGAATTGTTTGACCTCTGTTGGCATATGGGCTTCCATGCGGATGCCTCGATATTACCTGAATGTTAATTATGCTTGTGGCTACCAGTAAATTAGCACAATTAACATTGAGGTAATATCAAGGCATCCACCTAGGAGTTCATCAGCCAATAGAGGTCTAGTAATTCGATCCAACAAAACAACGGAGAGTAACAAGGATATCAATAAATAGTAATAACTGCTACCCGTTGTACAAGAAGTGGGTATCGCCTTGACGTTTAAAGCGATGGGTACGAGGTTGAAGTCTCACTGGGGTGCAGGTGCATCCAGCTGACGAGTCCCAAATAGGACGAAACGCGTGTCCTGGATTCTTCTGCTAGCCACAAACAACCAGATCATCGTTGTTATTGTTATGATTATTATATTTGAACCTGGTTGTCAGGATGCCATCAATGGAGTCTTCACTTTCCTGGACATACATACTCTCCTGTGGTAGGATAGTTCACATTTCTGCTGCCTCATAACATTCAGTTCTGTTACCAACATTATTTCTACCGTTATGATTGGCAAATTATCAGTGATTAGTGTGATAGCTTGATATTTTTCTGCTGAATAGTGCTAAACAATGAATTATACCTATCTATTCTGGAGGATATGGTACCGAATCACTTCTAAAACGTCTTTAGTTTCAGTGGACTTTGAACATTTCACTCACTGGATGAAGTCGAGCTGACTAATTCAATAATGTGTCCTTTGTCAACCTGTTGGCAATTATTTCTTTTATATCAGTTGAACGTTAGTTAGAATTTTCGAATCGAAATACACTTAACAACCATATACACATTCGTGTAGCAGGCAATGAACGACACCTATCGTATGTAATAGGTAGGTAAAGTAGGGGTTCGAACTGGTGGCACACTTCTTTGAAGGTCAACTGCGTAAACCAATGAGCCACAGTTCCACTGCTTAACAGTTTAACAAGAGAACGTAAGCGCAATTTTTTTTTACAATATATGGAGTAGCAATTAGTTCAGTGATGATTAGCTTGTCTATGCATTTAAAGTGTTGATGCACAATATGTAGCATGGAGTAACACGGTTCAACATCACCATCTGTCTCTTCCTGATAATTATACACCTTCAATGTTCAGCAACTCATCAATTTCTCACTATGAGATTATGATAAAAGTGTGTGTATGTGTGTGTGTGTGTGAAACAACTTTATCATTCCTGTTTCTACAATACTTCTAGCTTTTCTTTTTCCCACTGCTTCTCAAAGTTGAACTCTGATTGGTTGTTAACTCGTTTAAATTGACAGTGAACTAAGTGTTTGTCAAGGTCGTTTAGGATGGATATATATTCAGCATCGCTCTCCAAGTTGATATTGATCAAGGACTGACATTAGATGGAAAGCCACTGGAAAACTTGGATCACTGGACAGTGGTTCTATTCTAGTATGGGATTCCTCAGCAGTGCACATTCATAGTTCCACCCTTCCCGGGATTGAACCCACAACCTTTGGGTTCCACGGCCAGCACGTTATTACTGTGCTACTGATTCAACTATGTATGGATGATGCAATCGACGCGTTTCAAAATTTTGGGGAGGGTATTCTGTAAATTACTTTGGAAGAACTACTAGAAGAGACCACAAGTTCTTCATTCTTCTCTGGATAAACATGTTGGATAGTCTTCGGAATTTCGCTTTTGGACTTAACGCTGCATGTGACCACTGATGTGCTTGAACTTAGTATTCCATCCTCAACGGATTGATAGATTAATTGTCAGCTATAAAATATGATTCCCCGGGTAGCTTCACGAAATGTCTTTCTTAAGGACGCAGTATCGAGTCAGTTAACGTATTTTAAAACTTTATCCAGTTTGGTTATGCAAAGGAGAGAGAAAAAATAACACCAGTTCCATTCTTGAACACCTTGTCATCTTCAGCAATCTAAGCCCTGCTAGCAGTTCTTTTGAAGTCAAACCCACAATCGAAAAATTCCAAAGGCCTTCGACAAGGCATAGAAGAATCCTTCGGAATTCACAATCTTAGACATGATGTATTCGTTGAAAAAAAACATTACATCCACTCCTTGTATTCATCATAATTATCAGAGTAATAATTCACTGGTATTATTGTAAACAAATTTCTTTTCTACTCTTGAACATTATGGTGGTCACATGTCCCAACTGATTAGTGATAGACTGTTATCTGTTTTACAGTGATTTCAAATACAATTACACAGCTTCATTACATGAAGTCGTTGAAAAGAAAATTTTCTTCGCCTATCCTATCTTTGTTTAACCATAATAATCTTGAATAAAATATTGTGTTTACATGCAGAGAGAAATTACTACTCTGAGTATGATAAGGTTAAGAAAAGGACGTCATGTTTCTGAACAAAAAGAGATCAGATTTCAGATCATCATCTGTCAATGATTCGGCTGTGTATAAATGACGTAACGAAAATTCTTTAGAACTCTAGGGATATAAATATGAAGAATAAGTTATCACTGAAATACTCTGTTTCATTATGTGACATATATCAAAGAAACACATGACAGTGGAATTCAAATACCATTTGTCTGAACAAAGAATTACGCCTTTCGATAGCTTCTTCAAGTTCTACAGTCGTATGTACATATTGAGGAATTATGCATCAACACTATAGAAATTCCCTATATCAGTTTGTTAATAACATTATACACTTAAGGAAGTCAACTATAATTGGTGACCAATTGCACGAAAAATCTATTCATGTTGGAATCCCTATGTATGTGCAGAAAGAATTGTTGCTGAAATATACAATGAATGTTAACTTTAAATTTGATGGTGAAATCTTATGGACAAATGGATGGAGTCTCAATAGGCTCACCAGTTTATCTAATATTAGTGGATATTTTGTAATTGAAAGTGGAGGATGGTTAGCTTGAACGATCTATGAAAGAATTTTGATTATACTGTCGATATATGCGGCACCAATATGAGTAGATGGAAGATACTTATCAGATTCAACGCAGTACATCCAGTGATGACGTTTACATGTGAAGAAGAATGATAAGGCAAGATAGGTTTTCTCGATGTCCTTGTCTCAAGATGAACAGATGGGTGGATAAAGAGGAATTTGTTGAAGAGCGTCACCTGGACGAGGCAATACATCTATTTAATCACCTTCCTCCCCTTTCCCCTCCCCCTCCCCCACCTTCAGTACAAACAAAATTTCATGAAAACTACAACTTACATAATAAAGGCTACATGTTTTAGGGAGATAAAGTTGAGGAGGAAGTGATGACTTTGTGCTGCAACACACTAATCAAAAATGATTATCCATCCTGATGATTAATTCATAAAGAAACATAGAATAAGTAGGAGAATAGTAGGTAAGGATATTGCAATAGTTAGCAGAAAATCATTATACATTCAGATACAATTTAGAAGTAGTGATATGCTTAGTGAGATATTCATTCATGCCTAATAGTGACATTGAGACTGAAAGATGAATAACGTAGACTGGGCAGTTGCCATTGTGTTTATCATTTCGACTGCAGTTGTGGAGCCAGCCAGTTACGTCGACGGGTGTTCTAGGAATTTAATGTTCCGTGTTAACGAACATCTTACACTAGCGTAGATAAGTAAAGGTGTAGTAAAGACCATTATGAGTTCCGTATTAGCACATCTAGTTGAAATGAACCATAAGGTGGATATGAATAAATGGTTTTCCATTCTGTATCGTGTTCCCATCAACTTGACTAAAGGAACTCAGCTCAGGATCCTTCAAACTGCAGAAGCAGTAATAATCAAGATGAAACAACTTGAGTTTTGTGTTCATAAGAAGCAAATTTTGCCATGGCGTGATGCCATACTGTAGACACCCCTTCTTCCCTATAATCTGAGATAATTTTAACTCATTCTCTCAACGTATTTTGTTAGCACAGTTGTCATAAACACCTTCGTATTGTTTTATTCAACTACTATGTTATAGCATTAATTACAGCGTATAGTCAACCGTCTATAACCGTCTATTTTCAATGGAATTCCATTAAAAATGGATTAAATCGTTAAGGTTCACTCAAGACTTCGTGAACAAAGTGATAATCGGAATCTCACTATCGTTGACGCATAAGTTCTTGATGTGTACATATAACTGTAGAACCTGAAGAAGAAGAGGAAGAAGTTATGGAAAAGGATATTCTTTGTTCATGCTGATTGTAATATGAAAGTTGGCTGGATATATTTCTTGTTTGGACATGTGCATATAACTGCTGCACGATTTATAGTTTTATCCTTGGATAGGAAAACTTCAGTCTCCAAGTGGATACTTTACTGAATGTATAAATAAAGTTATTTATGAGACTATAGTTATAATTCAATGGACTGGTATTATTGATAATTGGATGAAATGAAAACTGATTTCATGGTAGGATTTAAACCAGTGACCTCCTTACTATTCAGCCTGGTGTTATTTATACAAATGTGCCGGACCACAACTATCTTAACTAGTTCCTACATCGCCACTGTTTTATTTGGATTGAGACAAGACGACCTTTGTTTTCAACCGATATACTGACCATTACTTATCATCCAACTGTAACAGGACAACCAACCATAGAGTTGTTAATGATCAAAGTGAACTTCAAACCTGATCATCAAGGGAGTCTTGTAGCTCAGTTGATAGGGCGCTAGTTCGAATCCGAATGCGATCAAAGTTTTCTTCAGATTATGGATAGATATAAGTTTAGTTGTTTTATCGCATCATCCACCTATGGTTCTTATGAAACTCAACTGTACTGATCTTTATCATCACTATTGTTTGGTTCAATATTGAATAGTGTGAGTCGACGCTCATTTCTCATTAATTTTCAATTATCAATCTGTTTATGATCAATTTTCTTTTGTTCTTTCTTTTTATATTGAAAAGAACCTTTCAGTCAAATGAATGCAGCAAGATCTTTATACTCTGATGATATTTTATCACGGATTAAACAGGCATTTATTATAACAAATCAAACTTTACATTATCAATATCCATTAGAATCATTGTGGATCAATAATAGTGTGGAATAAATTGATGATTAATATGGATACATGATTATTGAAGAAGAAGAAGAAGAAGAAGACGAAATGGTATGACTAGGGATCAGTTGTGTGTTATGTATATGTATTATATATAGGTAGTCAAAGTTATACACCTCTCTCTCTCTCTCTCTCTCTGTCTCTCCCTGATAATTGACAAACGATCTCCACATAAAAGGAGTAATTGATTGATTCATGATTCGTTTTGTCCACCCCCTGGATATCGTTATTATTATTATTATCATTACTGTTATTATTACTAACCTTTAATTATAGGAATATTATTGATGCATGGAAACAAAGGTAGAAATAAAATTATAAATGATTGGTACTTACAACTATTTTACGTCTTTACAAAACAAATAGTTGTGAAAAATTTACGAAAAAAATCTATTGCTCACTGTACATAGTGTTATTATTATTATTATTATTACTACTACTACTACTAGCATAACAACAATACCATTACTACTACTACTCCTAGTAGTAGTAGTAATGGTATTTGTACATATCTACAATATATGTAGGTGTATATTTTTCTCTTTGTTGCCTGAAAACAGTTTCTTTCTTCATTGATTAGATCATTGACTGATCATTTGTGCAGGTCAGGTGAAGTGAGCTTGTAAGTGCTCAAGATGGTGGTGGCGAGGAGGCGCTTAATCCTTACAATTCATGCTTGTTTATTCTTTTTGTTGGCCATGGTAATTTCTTTTCATAAAACTTACGACATATAATAATAATAATGTGTACATGCCAATGTATTTGATAATGAGGATAATAGTCACTTTTTACTTGAATATTGAACGAGTTTTGTTTCAAACAGTGTAATTTTGCGCGCCTTCACCTTCAAAAAAAAATTCACTGATTCAAGGTCAATCTGTTCAAATTTCAATGAAGTATGTATATGATGTATCTGTCGATGATTCGTTCCAGTAATCGTAATAATATAATGATCAACACTTTTTTGACTCTGATGATTAAGTGTTCTTATATATTACTTACTGTTCACAAGTTATTGTTTAATCACACCTAGTAAAGCTTCTCATTATCCCTACTACTCTACTCTCTTTGACAAATAGCACTTTTATAGCGAAGATATTATACTACTGTCTATTCCTCATCACTTTGTAGTATTCTTATCTTTCTTGAAATGCAAAACTCTTAGTGTGTATGTTTATGTTGGATGGAAGAAACTGTGTCGAGGGTGTCTACACGAATTTGCTAACATCACCATAACTGTGCCGAATACAGAAGGACGACTTTTCTGAGACTACTGTGTGTGTGTGTATGTGTAGAGCTGTCTTTACTACGATGCTGCTCATCCCTTCGTCATCTTTAGTTGTTTCAAGTAAATGTAACATCATTTCTTTTCTATTTTATTTTCTTTCTCTTTTCATTAATTATTACTATTCTCATTTTCAGGTTTGTTTTACTGAAATGATTCATTGCGCCTTTTTTTTTGTTTTCAAAAATTTGTATAATATACAAATTTGAAATTCCATACCTTCGATATGTATATATGTATGTGAATCAAATACAATTTATTTGAAGTTAATTGTCTTCATCAGTTTCTTCTCAAACTTTTGCTATGGAATATTACACCTAAGGATAAAGATGTATATACTCTAAAGTTTCATACTTTTGCTGTGATGAAACTTCATCAGAAAATCGCATTGGTAGATAATCTTTATTAGAATGATATTATATTGTGGTTGATTATTGATCATTTGTTTGATCATTTTACACTTGTATATGTTAATTGATATGTATCATTGGAATTTCAGACTTCTAGAGATTTTTAACACCAACGTCAAGTCAGTGCTTCTGTATGGCTCAGAGACTTGGCGCGTCACGAAAGGGATTTCCAATAAACCAATAAACAGAAGATCTAAAATGAGAAACCAGATACATTAAAGACGCCTTAATCACAAACAATTACCCTCCTAAACTGATTGATAAGCTCCTTAGGAATTGCAAGAAAAATATCAGTAACACAGTTACTAATAGTAGTGATAATAGTGGTAATGACAGCAACAATATTAGTAATAGCGTTGATAATAATGTTAATAATAGTGGTGGGAATACTATGAAGAGAGGATTCAAAACCACTACAGTATTACCATACAAACAAGCCTCCTCAGAAACACTACGTAGGATTCTCAACAAGGCTGGCAGGGACTACAGTGGTATTTAAACCTACAAACTCACTGAGAAATAATCTTTGTCGGTTAAAAGATCCTATTTACCCAAATGAACAGAACAACTTAGTTTACCAAATCCCTTGCAACGATGCGCGAGGTCCAGATAGTCGACCAGCTACGGTCAGTTAGGCTATCCGAGCACTAAATCCTAGCTAGGTTAAAATTAGTAGATCCTAGTAGGGTAAGGAATTCACAAAGAAGCTCAGCCGTAGCTCTGCATGCGATTACACATAACTGCACAATAGACTGGTTGGGACAGGGGGGAAATTCTTAAAAAGTAACATAACAGGATGGAGGGAGAGATTGATAACTCAATCTTTGTGTATCGAATCAACCATCTAACACATGGAGTAATAGGAATGACTCAGCACCTGTTCCGGATATATGGAAAATCTTACTACCTATATCATCACAAAGGGGGGTGAGGAAATTAGGACGATATGAAGGATATCTCAAAGTTGTGTAGCTATCTTGATATGATGACTGTGAACAATAAATTATGTCCGAAACACGTTATCCAGTAAACAAAACTGTTCCTTCACTATGTAACAAATCAATAAAAATGGAATTACAGTCTACCACAGTGAACAAGTTTTACTCATATTGATAAACTAAAAGTTTGAGTTACGTGTAACATCCAAAACAAGATTTTCCTAGAATACAGTTCGTATTAATAAAATAATATTCAGTAATAAAATACAAGCCTTGAATCCCGAGGGGTCTGCGGGTTCATCGCTTTCGAAGCACTTTACGGCAACTGCGTCAACAGTAAAAACAGCAAGACTGTGTTCAAGCAGCTAGAAGGGAATATAAAAGACGCACGTTCGTTCTCACGTTCAGATAAACCAGGGAAAAGATCCTAGAACATTTGGATTTCACCGAAGACTTATGTCTTATGTCACACAAACTTGAAGATGTACAGGCGAAAACTAACAAGTTGACAGAAGAGGCAGGGCAGCGAAGACGGGACTTCAAGTGAACGTAGAGGAGACAGAGGTGATGATGAAGATACCCAACCAACGCCACCACCACCACCAACAAGCTCCAATCTCCATCAACGGGAGGAACTTAGTGGAAGTAGCCTCTTCTACCTACCCACCAAGGCAGCATTGTTTCAACTACAGGCGGCACAGACGAGGACGTCAAAGCCTACCAGGAGCGGAAAACAAGACAAGCGTTCACCAACCTGAAGCCCATTGGGATATCTACTACACTGCACTCAGCATCAAGCGTGAACAACATCCGGATTTTCAACACTAATGTTAGTCAAGTCAGTGCTTCTATATGGTTCAAAGACTTGGCGCGTTATGAAAAGCATTTCCAACAAACTACAGAAATTCATCAACAACTGCCTACCCTGGTTCGTTACTGAAGATCAGATGGTCAGAAAGAATAAGCAACAAGGAACTGTGGCAACGGACCAACAAAGAACCTATTGCTCAACAAATATGCAGAATGAAGTGGAGATGGATTGGGCATACACTGAGAAGGCCTACTGGGGACATCAAGCACCAGGTCAGGCACTAGAGTGGAACCCAGATGGGAAACGATGAGTTGGGCTTCCGAGGTGAGGGTGACATGGAGATCGTGTGAGGAATCAATGAGAGCTTATGGGTTGTCGTGGAGCCAGGTTCAAGAGAATGGAAAGACCAGAGTGAGCTGGAGACATGCTACTGATACCGTATGTCCCACTAAGAACCCAAGGGACAAGTAAAGTGTAAAACAGAATATCAAGTAACAAAGAAGAAAATGACAAGAGTATCATGAACTATGAAAGATACTCATGTCAATACTTGTTGAGTGGTGGACATGATAGAATGAACAGTCAAGACTGCGGATGAAGCAACATTATAAGGCAACATGATTATACTACTCGAAAATACTAAGTAGTATAGAACTGAAGATAGAAGAGGGAACATTCGATAGGGTAAACAGGTAAGGAAGAAATTAACAGCGATTAATTGTATCCTCTTATACCTGCTTTCATTTGATATTCAGTTGTTTATCTTCCGTTTTGTTGACATCGCTAGTGTGAAGTACGGCATTTTTGATTGGATAGGGGGAGTTAGATAACGAATCAAATGTTGTTTACAGCTATGACTATTTCTCTTTGTTTGAGTATTTAAGGCATAACTGGCGGTGTTATCCTGAAGCCGGTGTAAGTTGCCTTTATGTATTCAGTCACTGAAATTTATTTTAGAACACTGAATGATTCTATAATCCGTGTCTAGTAGAGTTAGTTTAGCTGATATATATTCTATTGCTAACTGAAATAATACACAATGTACAAGGCATGAAAATGATTAGATTGATTTGTCATTCAAAATTAAATGCACTCAACAAACAAGTGGACATTCATGCAGTAGGCAGCAATGAGCTATACCTATTGTGTTAGGGGCTAGTGATACTATCTGGCTACCCTAAAAACTGAGTAGATGGAGTAGGGCTGGAACTGATTACCCATTGGTTGAAAGTCATTTCTCTAAACCGACGATCTACATCTCCATAGGTTAATACGAATCATGAAATCAAGGTCATCCATCTGTCATGTGATTGGTCACTTTTATTAGTCATTATGTTTTCATCTGAAATTCATAAACAAATTGAATCAGGAAATAATATGCGCATATCATATCTTGTTCTTGGACAGCCTAATTCAGACTGATCAAGGTGAATTAGAGAAAGATGAGGTGCAGAATAGATGATTAGTGAGTTAACGCGACAATAAAGGAACAGTTACTTTCCATGGTGAAGTTGTGGGTCATTGGTTTAACGAGTCAACTTTCAAGCAATAATCGGTCACAGGTTCAAACACCGTCGTTTGTACAGCCAAGTCAGGTAGTGGTATCATTAATCCTCACACAATAGGTGTCGCTCACTAACACCTACTACATGAATGTGCTTATGGTTGCTGAGTACATTTCTACTCGATTATGTTTCATATATTCATATGATCACCTAGGAAAATCCTTCACTTGGTACACTGTGGTACCAGTAGTCGACCAGAGACCTCTTTCTCGTTTCCTGCTGCTATCGAAGCTTTCATTTCACCTTCATTATTTTAGCTGTAACATAGGTGAGAAATAACGCAAAATCATTATGAAACAATAGGATGATGAACAACCAAGATGGTTGAATGAGTTGATGAATATGCAAGAAGGTAGATGGTAACACACTAACTAAGTACATCATCTTATTGAAGCCTCTCTACTCGAACACTTGTGGGCGTGTTTCAGCCTATGGTGAGATGTCCACGGAGCTATGCTCACCGAGTGGTGTCCGTCAAGGCTGCCCACTCTCTCCATTCTCATTCAATTTTATCATAAATATTTTAATGGCGTTCTGCCTCTTGTCACCTGGTTTACACAGACGTTGACCTAATCACAGGAGGATTTTCGTTTGACTTAGAATACTCAGATGACATAGTCCTGTTAGGTGATTACACTGACAAGATGCAGAGTCTTCTGAACACTTTGAGTAGCAATTTGAGAATGTTTGGAATGTGTTTCTCACCACCCAAATGCGAGTTTTTGCTCTAGGATTGGTCTTCAATGGTGCCACGGCTAAAAACAGAGAGTGAAGTGGTTGAGTGTGTCGACCACTTTACTTACTTGGGAAGTAGGATCAGCCATTGTGGGTCAGTTGCCGATAAAACCTCTGCACGGATATAAAACGCTCGACTGGCTTTTGCCAATTTACGCCACTTATGGCGTCGCTGTGATATCCGATTGTCTTTTAAGGGTCGCATATACTGCACAACAGTTCGGTCTGTTCTACTGTATGACTGTGAATGTGGAAGACATGAGAAAGCTGGCTTCAAGTGTTTGACACCGTTGCCTTCGTAGTATAAGCCATATTCCGTGGTGTCACCACGTGAGTAACGCAGACGTCAGGTGTAGAGTTTTAGGGATGGAGAAGAAGCAAGTCGGTTGACGAGGTTGTGAACCTTCATCGACTGAGATGGCTGGTTGGGACAAGTACTACTTATGCCTAGTCACCGATTGCCTCATCACACAATGTTGGCTGAAGTAGGTCGAGGCTGGAAGTAGGCCCGAGGTGGCCACACTAAAACATGGCACCAATGTATGGAATACTTGACTGTTGGTTTGAGCCATGTGGGGCGATGCAGACTAGACTAGGTGGTTGGGGTCCACGAGACAAGAGGAACCAGTGGTTGGAGACTGACTCTAGGTGATCATGTGGCTCAAAACCGATGTCAGTGGTGTAGATGTATCCCCACATACATTATCGTCATGTTAACGACGCTATACTGAATCTTACCATTTTGCCATTCTTCCTTTCTCTCTTTCAGTACTTTATATTTCTTTAGACTGAATCTTCTTAACTTCATCTTGCAGCTCACTGCCTTTTTACTTGATGTAGTGATATGAGGTGTGGCAACTCAGACCGTTAAGTAGTAATGCTTGGTCCTATGTCGATATTGATGATGATGATGATGAAGTTCGGAATAGAGTTAAGATAATAACTATTCGTTGGTTGGACACAATCAGCAGGGACTCGTTAGGTAGGTATGTATCTATCACCTTGACGCAACTGATGTTCTCTGTGAGATTGCAAAATGCGCGCCAGCGAATGTTCCAATCAGAGAAATCACCTCCTATACTACTGCATTAGATAACCTGAAGGGTAACCAATTTCATATTGTCGATTCTTGACTACTGACTGAATTCTATTGACTATGATAATGCTTAGATAGAAAAAAGTTTCTTTGCAAATGCAATCAACATGTTGAATTTGTTTAATGATTATTGGCTATGAGCAGTGCTGAAGTTAGGCATTTCAGTGTTAAAAAAAGACTGATTGAGTGGGCGAAGAAATATATTCCTTTTCAACTAGGTCTTCATCTTGGGCTCTAAATTAATATATGTGGGTTTACAATTTAATCAAATTACCAATCACTTGCTGGTGTTTTGAAAATAATGATGTGAATAATCAATAGGGTTACTAAAATAGGAAATATGAATAGTGATAGAAACAAGAGTAGGATGAGGTGTAAAAGGTAATGCTAGAAGTTACATCATGTTGACGGCCACGGTAATGAAAGTGGTCGAACAAACTTCTTCTGGATACAAAGGTTAGGTTTGTAAAGGTGGATTGCAATCGCCTCTGCTATGTGAAGTAACCGAGTGTGTAATCCATGAGGTAAATTAATTGGAATCTGATGGATAATCTTGAAGGCTTTTCCAGTAACCCCTTGATGTCCTGTGTCAACTAGATGAGGGAGTATGGAACTCTTTATCGTTCTAATTTGTCCCTTGCTCAACCATGATGGGTGGTGCTCAGAAATTCGACAATGGAACTGCCTCATTGTACACCCAATGTAACTAGTTCCACAGGAGCAGTTGAATTGATGAATGCACATGGAAGTGGTGGAATCAGGCAGTTTGTCTTTATTTCTTACATCTAGAATGGGCAGTTGTAGAAGGCGGGACATAATTTAGTGGGTGGGAATGTTTTATGGAAGACTGTTTTTATGCGTTGTGTGATGATCTGACTGGCAATATCACTGTTGAATTGCAGCTTCAAGAAGATTTACTTCTTAGGAACTGTTGGCATTGTTTTCTTAACCCTCGTAATATTCATATGCTTAGTTACAGGCTTGTCTGAGTAGCCATTCCTACTGAGCAAATCACGGATGGTGGCACACTCTTCCTTTATAGCATCCTCTGAGCAAATAGCTGATGCATGGTATGCTAAGCATTTCATTAGGTTCCTTTTGTATTGAAGGGGTATAGCATTAATGAAGTGCTTATATTGACCTGTTGATGTTGTCTTTCTATAAACACTTCGCTTCAGGGTTCCATCTGACCATCTTACCAACAGAACATCAAGAAATGGGATACTATCATTTTTTTTTCTCCTCTTCCATTATGAAGTTGATTGCTGGGTGAACACTATTGAACTTATTCAGAACAGCATTCTTATCAATTCCACTTTTGAGCACTATGAAGGTATCATCCATGTAACGACCATATAAGTCTAAACAGCTTATAGTATCGTTCAGTGGACCATTCTCAAGTTTTGCTGCAATGGTAAAGAGGCTTGAATACTGTTACTGTTCGGTAGTAAAGTTGTTAAAAAAAACAACAATAGATTTGATATAATTATAATATTTATTAAAAAAATGCTTTTATTAAAGGCTACACTTTGTTAATATATTTAGTGTATAATATTTTAATGTATTGAGCTGGCCTTATCATCAATTGGTTTCAATCGTGGACTATTACTTGTACTAGCTAGATTTGGTGTTGTCTGTGGACGTTTCGATGTATCAGTAGTTATTTTAGTCAACTCTGACAAACCACTAGTGATACCAGATCTAGGAGCTGGTATATCACCTGGTTTACCAGTTAAATTGAATAATCTTGGTGGATTTGGACGTTTAGGTGGAATCTTTTTTTTCACTTCAGTTAATTTATTATCTGTTTGTTCAACACTTTTCTTTTCAATACCTTTAACTGGTGTATTCGATGATTTAGATGATGTGTTGATTGTTTCAGTTACAAGGTTGACTTGCCAATCTTCACTAGGGTTAATAGATTCATTTATACAAATAGAATTCATATAGTATGGGAATATTGTATTTGTTTTTTCTGGTCTTAAAAAAATCTGAAAAACAAAATTAAAATTCAATAAAACATATTACACAATTTTTATATAAATCAGAATAAATGAATTCTTTTTGTTGTTGTTAAGTTAAAAATTTACTATTGTTTACACTGTAGATGATTTTTTCAGACATACCACTACTGGAGAAGGTTTGGAATGAAGGAAGGAAAGTTACCTGCTGATTGGAAGAAGAGCAACCTAGTCAAACTCTCAAAGAAGTAAGACAAGAACTGGCACAGAATCATGCTCCGCCCCTGTATCATCCTAGAGAGACTATAAGATGCGCTTGATTCAAAATTACCACCGGAACTGGCTGGTTGGCTGACTTCAAGAAGAATAAATCATGTGCAGATCGAATTGCAACGCTACGCTACGCAACATCAATAGAGCAGAGTAAAGAATGTCAGTCAACCCTCTACCTCAACTTCATCTATCTCGAAAAGGCCTTCAACAGAGTCGATCGAGAAGTAATTTGACAGGCAGTTGCTTCAACACTACGCTTTGACTACCAAAAACCCTTATCAACCTCATTCAACACCAGCTATATGTTAAGCTGTATGATGAAGCTACATGCCAAGTGATTCACAATGGAAAGCTCAGTGATGCCTTTGAGGTGAAGACAGGTTGATAAGTAAGACAGTATTGCCGCCTACTACCACCCATCATCTTCCTCATTGTGGTCAACTCGACTCGACTCGACTCCACTGGACAGCCATGCAAGAAACTGTGAGGAGCTCTGAGAAGATCGCCATAACCTGTTTGACCAATGAAATGACACCAGAATAAGATTTGCACTTCCCCAATCATGATGATTTATATCTAATATATTATGTAGCACAAATTCGAATATGTATAGGCGAAAACAAACAAGTTGATAGGAGAGGTGAGGCGAGGCAGCGAAGACGGAACTACCTTGAGGTAAATGTAAAGAAGAAGACAGTGGTGATGAGGATACCAACCTACCAACAATACCAACAAGCACCAATCACGATGAACGGGATAAATCGAAAGGAAGTTAACTCTTTCACCTGCCTGGGCAGTATCATCGAAACTATATGCGGCGGCGGCGGTGGCACAGATGATGATGTGAAAGCCAGGAGAGGAAAGATAGCAAGACAGGTCTTCACTAATCTGAAATCAGTGTGGAGATCTACTGCACTGCACTCAGCATGAAGCGCGAACAAGATGTTGATTTTTAACACTAATTCAGTCAAGTGAATGCTTCTGTGATGGTTGAGAGACTTGGTGCGTTACGGAATGCATTTCCAACAAACTACAGTCATTCATCAAGAGCTGCCGCCTACGCTCACTCGGTACTGAAGATCAGGTGAGAAGGCGAGAAAGAATAATCAATAAGGAACTCTGATCTGGCAACAAATCAACCAACAACCTATTACTCAATAAATATACTGAAGAAAGTGGAGGTGGATTGGACATTGTGAAAGCTTGTGGGCAGTGGTGGAGTCTGGTTTAGAAGACTGGAGAGAAGAGAGTGAAATGGCGATGTGCTACTGAAGCCCTATGTTTCACTAGGAACCCAAAGGACGAATAGTATATAATAACTTATACTTTAAACAATATTATATCATCGAGATAGCGATTGTATATCCTAGCGGTGTTAAATTAATGATATACAGGCAAAATCAACGTTTCATCTCGCATCGAGTTGTATCACCTCAAGTTACACTTCGAACCAGCTTGAAAAGAACAAGTAGGTAGAGAAAGACGAGTAGCGGAAGTAGTCTGGAAATCTAGATTGGCCAAAGTTTTAAAGTATATCTGTGCCACTGTAAAACATTGCCCAACCACCGATGCATATCGTCTCGAGGACCCCAATCAGGTAGTTTGCATCACTTCACATGACTCAGACCAACAGTCAGAGACTTCATCAACTAGTAGCATATCGTGATCTGGCCACCCTGAACCAAAATTCTCTAGGATTGCACTTCGAGGTAGGAGGTGGCTTCGACATGTGTTGGTTGAGTGACTTGTCAGCGTTGCTCAATACTTTTTGCCTTACGTCGATCTTCGGTCACACGGTGATTCCATCATACATAAGCAATGCTGTTAAGTTACCTATTTTCAAAAATCTTAAATCACCTCCCATTATCTGCTTTGTATGGTCATGTCTTAGCACTGTGTAACACAACAATGAGCTGAAGCATAGTTCTGTATAACTAATTATTCGATGGACAATTTACCAACTACAATTATTATTATTATTATTTGTCCCTTGGGTTCCTAGTGGAACATACGGCTTCAGTAGCACGTCTCGATTTCACTCTATTCTCTCCAGTCTTTTCAACCTACCTCCACAAGTGCCCACAAGCTTTCATTTCTTCCTCACATCATCTCCTCCATATCACCTTTGGATGACCAACACCTCGTTTCCCCTTTGGGTTCAACTCAAGGGGGCCTGGCCTGGCGCGTGATGTCCCCAAATGATCTTCTCAGTGTATGCCCAATCCATCTCCACTCTCTTACCAACTACAATATCAATCTTTATCTATTTTTAGCTGGTCGATTATAATGAGTTATTCTTTGAAACTGAAGTGTTTTGTTGATCATTTCAGAAAACTTGTGTGTAACGTTGTTTGACAACTAGACATTATTTATTATTCCATTTTACGCTGTTTATTTAAAATATTATACGATGAAGGAACAGTATAATTTACTGGATAACGATGTGAAGTACTAGAATGTTTTGACCACATAACTTACTTTAGAAGTTGTATCACCTCAGATAGGTTAGTTGATGATAAAATTTCATCTGGAATATAAATAGTCCAGGCCAGAGAAATATCCGAATACTTCACTGCAGTCTGTTATATCCTGTTATACAGGATTTTGACCACAGGTGTCTTTGCAACATTACACACGTATGTTGAAATCATAGTGGAAACAATGTAGAGGTTAGACAAAGGAAGGCAAGTCGATTGATGAGGTAGTGAGCCATTGGACATGTATGGCGCATACCGGATCACCACCTACCTCGATGTACCATACTGAGGTGAGTTGCATTTGATTTGGACACCAAGACATGGCACCAGTCCATGAAGTCCTTCACTATTGGTTTCAGTTGTCAGGGAATATGTTGACTACCTTACTGGTGTAGCCGAGAAGAAAGAAATGAGTAGTTGAGGACTCTTGGTGACATGGTTGAAAATCTGTCAGAATGGTGTAGATATATACACTCCCTAACCTTTTTCTTCAAGTTGTTTATTCTCTCACACAACTTCATCTGCTTTGATGTCACTCTCATTCTATTCATCTGTTCTTTGTGTAGTACTGTAAAGTGTGGCTACTTGTGTGCGAGGTTCTACGTTGATTTTATCTATTTGTTCTTGTGTACGAACTTTATTCTTAACTTGATCAAAATATTGGTTTGTTCATAAAATGCTCTCTCTCTATGTTTTCAATATGGTGGTCATTATTTATAACTCAGATTTTGGATTTCCACAGTGATTTGTTCTCTGAGCTGAGTTCTCAGTTGGCAAACGTTTCCATGTGATGTTAAACATCTTAGTTGCCAATCCATTATCTTCTCCATTTTATGCTCTGCTTACCAATGTCCATTGTTATTTATCCGTAGTCAAGGAGAATGGAAGTAACAACCAATCCATCTCCAGTGTTTTTAGCATATCTATCTTTTATTCTCATTCATCTACAAATTGATTAGCTCATCTATGCTATAAAGATCTTGTACATATTCTATATACTTTGCTAAATACAATACAGTTGTGTATTATATGAGCTAGCAGTCTAATTTCGTCTTCTGTGTAAATCAACTGGGGTGAAGATTGTGGTGATAGGAATAACTTTCACTTCCAGCGTTGGGCATTTTAATCAGTTTATCAATCATTGGACATAGTAGGCAACCCATTCCAAGGTTATGATAAGCAATAACAAGCAAATCATCAATCCAGTGACATAAATTTTGTCATTTTTCCAACCCCACTTTCATCTGATAGGTTTTAGTTAGTTGTTGATGGATACAAATACAATCTGATGGAGGTGAAAAACTTTAAATAGAAAATGTTTTCCTCACTTATCTTTCGCGTACTGTTGATTAATTCAACGTAGTATGTAAGAATACAGTATTATTTAGTAAGACAGTGTTGTTTGTCAAATGAATAAGCTAAAATGGAGTCAAGTTTATGATCTATATAGGGATTGATTGATTTCATAGTACTAATTCCTATCATAGATTGATATCACTTAGAGAATAAGTGAAAACTTGAAAGACGAGAAAAATGTTTCATCCTAGTGCGGCTATCTTCAGCTTTGTACAATCAATCCCTACAATACTTCACTTCAATTATATGGATCCCGGTAACTACCAGAGTAATCCAAAACGTCCGTTTCATCCTATTTGGGACTTGTAAGCTAGAAACATCTAAAACCCAGTGAAAAATGTTATTCCCACTGAGGCTCGGGCCATTCACTTCAAGCGTCATAGCGCTATCCACTAAGTCTGCTTAACTAGTTCACTAGTTACTGGCCAGTCTTAAGCTTGGATAAAAAGGAAAGGTTGAACATAGGGCTAGCAACCCTACCCCCTAAAACCAATTCAATCGCTAAAGAAACTTCAAAGAAATTATAAAAAATGAAAACAAACTTATTCCTCGCTGGAATCGGAGAGGCGAAAGGACACCGGTTGGTGAAAGCCTTCGTGAAGCCAATTGGCCAATGTGTCTCCTCTCTCTTGATGAAAGCGAAAGTAAACATGCGGACATGGAATATCTGCACCATGTTTGAACCTAGCAAGGCTGCCCAGATTGGAAAGGAGATGAGAAGGTGAAGCATGGAAGTGCTAGGAATCTTCGGAAGCAGGTGGAATGGAAGTGGACTCTGCAAACTGTCAACTGCAGGGGAGTCAATAATCTACTCGGATATTGTCATTCAGGCGACAACCACGATCACACTGAGTTATGGAGTGGCTATCATGATGTCACCTTCAAGAGCATCGAAGGCTCTCATACAGTGTGAACCAATCTCCTCCTGCGGGATCATGACAGCGAGGTTCAACTGGAAAGGAAGGAAGGAAGATCACAATCATACAATGTTATGCACCTACAAATAATGCAGATCAGGAGAAAAAGGAGGAATTCTGCAGACAACTGCAATCAACACTAGACAAGACGTCAGTTGGCGACATCAAAATTCTAATGGGCGACATGAATGCCAAACTGGGAGGGGACAACACAGGAAGAGAACTAACCATGGGTCGAGAAGCACTCAGTGAAATGAATGAGAATGGAGAACTGTTTGCAGAATTCTGTGCATTCAACGACTTGGTGATTGGAATCACTGTATTCAAGCACAAGGATATCCACAAAGCCAGCGACATGGATTTCACCAGATGGACACACTACACTAAAATCAGATTGACTTCATCTCAATATGAAGGAAGTGGAGACGCAGCCTAATGGACACGAGGTCAAGAAGGGGAGCAGATACATGTTTAGACCACTATATAGTGCAAAGAACCTTCCAAACCAAGTTGAAAGCCTTCAAGGAAGTTGGTGATAGGCCACGGTTCAAGTTCAACACCCAGAACAGAAACTGAGCTGAAGGACGAAATTACTAGGGACATCTTCACGTCAGCCATCACAACAAAATTGGAGACGTTGAGCAACACCCAAGAAGGATCGGGCGTTGAAGAACACTGGAACTGTTTGGAAGAGATGTGGAAAGAAACCTTCATAGCCTTATTAGGAAGCAGGAAGAAAGAAGATAAAGAATGGTTCTCGACGGACACATGGAATCTGATAGAGGAGGGAGAGGAGGATGGTGAAGCAGAAGATGAACCAGTGCAAGGATGCACAACGAAAAGAAGAACTGAGTACAACGTATAAAACACTGGACAAAGAAGTGAAGAAGAGTGCGCGCAAAGACAAAAGACACTTCTACGACACACTGGCAAGTGACGCAGAACAGGCTGAGGACAGGTAGGAGAGACCTGACAACATTATATCAAATAACCAGGTTACTATCTGGAAGGGAAGAGATTAACACAGATGAAACAAAGAAAGGATAATGAAGAAAACTTAGCAGAGAGGAGAAATAAAGAAGACGATGGGCTGACCAAGTTAAAAAAGCTCTTGAATCGACCACCACCTGCAAATCGTCCAGATATACCACCTGTAGCCATAGAACTACAAGTGAACACAAGCCTTCCGACGAAAGTCGATGTCCTGATCGCCATAAAGCTACTGAAATGTGGGAAGACAGCAGGACTAGATGGAACCCCGCCAGAAGCACTGAGAACAGACGCAGGGCCAACAGCGGACAGCTCACACCACTATTGCAGAAGGTTTGGAAGGAAGGAAAGTTACCTGGCGATTGGAAGAAGCACTACAATGTCAAGCTCCTGAAGAAGGGCGACCTAGGTCTTTGTAAGAACTGGCGAGGAATCACGCTCCTGTCCACCCCAAGCAAAATATTAAGCCATATCATCCGTGAGAGACTAAAGGATGCGTTGGATTCAAAATTACGAAGGAAACACACTGGCTGGATTCAGGAAAAAAAATCATGTGCAGATCAAATTGCAAAGCTACACTACGCATCATGATAGAAGAGAGTATAGAATGGCAGTCAACTCTCCACCCTACCTCAACTTCATCCTCTTTACAAAGGCCTTCGACAACGTCGATCGAGAAGTAATTTCGCAACTGCTTCAACACTACGGAGTACCAGAAATTCTTATCAACCTCATTCATTAGCTATATGAAGAGGCCAAATGTCAAGTAATTCACAATGGAAAGCTGAGTGCTGCATTTAAAGTGAAGACAGGAGTAAAATAAAGCTAACGTCTACTATCAACCTTGATCTTCCCGATTGTGGTGGATTGGATCATGCTGCAAACCGTGAGGAGCTGTGAGAAGATGGGCATACGCTGACTGGACCGATGAAAAGATCCCAGAAGAAGATTTGGATTTCGCCAACGATGATGATTTACATCTAATGTATTATGTTGCACAAACTCGAAGATCTACAAGCGAAAACAAGTTGACAGAAGAGGCAGGGCAGCGAAGACGGGACTTCAGGTGAAAGTGGAGAAGAAAAATATGATGAAGATACCCAACGAACGAAAGCATCAACAACAAGCACAAATCACCATCAATGGGAGAAACCTGAAGTGAGTAGTCTCTCTTTCACCTACCTTGGCACCATCATTTCAACTGCAGGCGGCACAGATGAGGATGACAAAACCAGGGTCGGAAAAGCAAGAGAGGCTTTCATTAATCTGAAATGATCAGTGTGGAGATCTACTGCACTCAGCACAAAGAACAAGATCCGGATTTTCAACACCAATTCAGTCAAGTCAGTCAGTGCTTCTATGTGATGGTTGAGAGACTTGGCGCGGTACGAAAAGAATTTCCAACAAACTGCATACATTCATCAACAGACTCCTACACCCACTCGATACTGAAGATCAAGTGAGAAGGCGAGAAAGAATAAGCAAGGAGGAACTCTGGGAACGAACCAACCAACAAGTATACAGAAGAAAATGGAGATGGATTGGACGTACACTGAGAAGACCGATTAGGAACATCACGTGCCAAGCCCTCGAGTGGAATTCAAATGGGAAACGACAAGTTGTGCATCCAAAGTTGACATGAAGGAGATCATGTGAGGAAGAAATGAAAGCTTATGGGCAGTGGTGAAGCCTGGTTAGGGAAACCGCAGAGAACAGAGTGCAACGGAGGCGTGCTACTGAAGCCAATTGTTCGACTAGGAACCTATAGGAAAAATAATTATAATAATTGTATTCTACTTAAAGCGCTTGGAGAGGCGGTTTGAATCGCGTGACTCATCCTGTGGGTGGGTTGAGTAAACGAGACTAGATAAGTCTGTTTGTTCAGCGTGAAGACTAGGAATCGGCAGTGTCATGTGTATCAGACAGTCACAACTAGACGAAGTCATTACCCGTTAGCGATGCGCCCCCGGATTGCTACGATGCTGATTATCTTTCACACTGGCACTTTTGCTTACATATATCAATACAAAGGTTTTGTATTGTAGAATGGACTCATGCATTAAAAATAAATCTTTTTAACAGCAAATTTATACAGAATTGCTATGGAAAAATTTCGTTTATAATGCTTAAATCGCTACCTATGCACTATTCTTTTCTTGTTGTAATCACACTACTTACATTTAATAAGTAGGAAAAACAAAACAATTAAAAAGGTTGAAATTTAGGATTTGCTTCGTAGTGAGGTTCACTTATCGTAAACAACATGATGCTTACTACCGGGTATTGTTCCTTTAACTTAACCGTCAAATCTTTTCAGTGATGATGAATGACAGTTATGTGAATGAAATCATCATATCTTAATTCATAAGACTAATTTTCTATTCATCGCCTCGTTTAGGTCTATTGAGTTAGACGGCCAACTTTACTATGGTTGGATTACGTTCCCATTTTCGATAGATATACGTATATATAAAACTAACCACCTAAATCAACTTCTTTTGGCTGGTCATAGTGCACAATGAAATAAAAGGACTAAATGAAGCATAGTTACTCATTAGTAGGAAAGAAAAATATTATATGTTGATTAGACTATGTCAAATTGTCATATTTCGACAGATTGGTTCTTAAGTATTGTCTCACTGTAAAGTTATTTAAAGTGCACTTCTGAGGAATCCCACTCCGGGATGAAACAACTATCCAATGCTCTTAAGTATTCAGTAATTCTTCAATTGACATCAATTTATGATGAATACTCACATTGAGATTAATTCCTAAAAGTAATCAATAATTTTGCTTACCATCATAACAATAAATCCAAGTATATGAATCAATTCATCCCAGACATGAATCAAAGTTTCGATATACCAATTATGAACATGATTTAAGCATATTATAATCCATAATGGAACAGTCCAAAACCTAGAATAGGTAGAAAAAAAAAAGAAGGAAATTGTAACATTTATGACCTATATATTGAAATGTTGTTTATTTTTACATCAAGAGATATGTGATCAAAATTTAATCCCGTTTATGCGTATATATATAATGACGATAAGTAGGCAAAAATGGTAATGGATGATGCCTACACGAATTGACAGAACTAGAGGGATAGGGACCATTGAACTCTATTTGAATGTTTCGATGGTTTTTGGCTTGACCGTAGACAGAGTCTCAGGTGAGTTCTGTTGAGGAGTTTCATAGTATGACAAAATAGCTGTCCAGTGCTTCTAGGTCCTCAATAGATCTGTAACTGATGTCAGTCCGTGATGAATATAATCTTGTAATGAGTAAATCCTCTCAAAACCTTTCTTATGGAATATACCTGAGAGAATTGTGATGTTGATTTGGCAATTGAAAGTAACATCTGGTCTATACAATCGGTTGTTTAACATATAACTAAAGCTCTTAACTCCAGTCTACTGATTAGATGATAATGTGTACGCTGAGAGATCTAAAGATGAACAATCATATTTATAAGATCGATGATATGTATTACTGATGAGTTCTAAATGTGTACCAAACTCTTATCCAGTGTTTTGCTTGTTTTTGAGAAATTTTTTCTTGCAGTATCAATCAATTCTAAGGAGTGAATGTCTATGAGGTAAGTTTTTTCCAAGTTTAATTAATCAACTAGTATTTACATAGACAGATTGTATATAAATGAGTTTGAATATGCACGAAAGATTTAATCAATTCATATAATGAATCTATTAGACGATTGAAACTGTTTTTCCTGTTAGAAACTTATAGTTCATCTCATTATTTGAGTAGTATTATATGTAAATAAAACAAGAAAGACAATAGTAACAATCCATTCCAATACAAAGGAGTGAAACAAGGTTGCCTACTATCCCCCATGATATTCCTGATTGTGGTCGACTGGATCATGCAGCAAACAGTGGGGAGCGAGAAGAGGGGGATACGCTGGACTGCGGAAAAGAACCTAGAAGACTGGGATTTCACCAACGATGACTTGTGTCTAATGTCGCACAAACTTGAAGATCTACAGGCGAAAACTAACAAGTTGACAGAAGAGGCAGGGCAGCGAAGACGGGACTTCAAGTGAATATAGAGAAGACAGAAGTGATGAAGATACCGCACCACCACCACCACCAACAACAACAAACTCCAGTCACCATCAACGGGAGAAACTTAAAGGAAGTAACTTTCTTCACTTATCTAGGAAGCACCGTCTCAACTACAGACGGCACAGACACAGACGAGGATGTCAAAGTCAGAATCGGAAAAACAGCAAGACAGGCGTTCATTAGCCTGAAACCAATGTGGAGATCTTCTGCACTCAGCGCAAAGCGTGAACAAGATACGGATTTTCAACACCAATCCAGTCAAGTCAGTGCTTGTGTATGGTTCAGAGACTTGGCGCGTCACGAAAGGGATTTCCAATAAACTACAGACATTCATCAACAACTGCTTACGCTGGCTCGCTTCTGAAGACCAGATGCCAGAATAACAAGAATAAGCAACAAGGAACTCTGGGAACGAACCAACCAAGAACCTATCACGCAACAAATATGCAGGAGGAAGTGGAGATGGATTGGGCATACACTGAGAAGGCCGACTGGGGACATCAGGCGTCAGGCCAGTTGCTCGAGTGGAACCCAGATGGGAAGCGACGAGTTGGGCGTCTGAGGTGAGGGTGACATGGAGGAGGTCGTGCAAGGAGGAAATGAGAGGTTGTGGGCTGTCGTGGAACCAGGTTCAAAAGATTTCAGAGAACAGAGTTCACTGGAGACGTGCTACTGAAGCCCTATGTTCCACTAGGAACCCAAGGGACTAATAAAAATAATAGTAATAATAATGATAATAATAATTCCAATACAAATGTCTTGTTACCATCAACTGTATTTACCAATACACATTTAGAAGAAGACTGATTGAACAAAGAAATGTGTATTCATTTTCAACTAAGTGTACGTCTTAGCCACTACACTAATATGTATAGGAGTTTTCACTTCAATCAAAATATCAATCATGTGGTGGTAGGGGTGAGGGGTTGCCTGACAACATACTTTCAATTCAATGGCAAGATATACAAACAGATGAAAGGAAGTCCAATTAGATCACCGATATCCAGACTAATTGGAGAAGAAATGATTCAGAGACTGAAAGCTGTGATTAAACCAAAAAATTGGATTCTCTGAGTGAACAACATTTTTGTTATCATTAGAAAAGATGATATAGAAAAGACCCACAGTTTGATCAACAACGTTTTCAGTGACATCGAATTCACAATGGAGAAGGAGTCAAACAACCAACTACGATTCCTGGATGTTTTTGTCAGTAGAACAAATGCCGGAAAGTTAGAAACCTAAGTGTACAGGAAGCCAACATACACTGACTAAATACTCAACTACAGTGGCAATAATCCAACAACGCGTAAAATTAGTTGCATGCAAACTCCATTCAAAAGAGAGAGAACACACTGCACTACAATACAACAACTTCACCGAGAAACGAAGAAAATTACTTGATGTCCATCCTAAAGAAGAACGGCTACCCATGAAACTTTATCAGAAGATGCTTATCCCGTCATCGACAGAAATCAATAAGCGTACATAAAGAATATATCAGGAATCATAACAAGATTACTGAGACCATTTGGAATTGGTATGGCCACTCATCAATCAATAAATTCCCTCCAAACACTGTTATGCAGACCAAAGGATGCAGCAACCAAAGACCAAAGACAAACCGAATATCATTTACAAAATCAACTGCGATAACTGTAGTTAAGCGTACATTGGAAGAAGTGGTCGCCCACCTTCACCTTCGTCTACATGAAGGTCACGACATTTCATCATACATTTTAATGCATGTGGGTAACAACTATGAACATGAGTTCAATTTTGACAATGTAGAAATCTTCGACGGAGATAGGAAACACAAAGAATATCATCAGAGGATTCCTAGAGGCTTGACATTCAGGTCAGTCAGTCAGTCAGTCAGCAATCAACAGTTGCAGAGACATAGACCCAATCTATCAACCAATGAGAAAAATGATAAAAGACAGAAAGGTGAGAGGTGAAGCAGGGGCACAGCCAACAGGAAAGTCTATTCAGTCAGTCAATGACACAACAACCAAAGGAAACAACCAATCACAAACCGATTGGTCAAGGCAAGCTACCAAATCACTAATCCCTCATGGAGAAATATGGACAACTCACTTCATACTGAAGTTAGTACTGATGATGCCGTCTAGAAAGACGAATAAAGCTCCTCCACGATTAAACAAATCATCTCAGAGAATGTAACACATCGAAGACCATCCACTTGAGCTACAAATATTCTACACCATTTCAGATTCTAAGTAAATCATGAAGATGATGTTTTAGAAATAAAGATGTAAATAATTATTGGAGTAATTGAAGTTGGTAATATGAAGCAGATTATTGTTAGGTAAATGGAGTGATTTTTGATGAATATTTAGTCACAAACAATAAGTGTTAGCATAGCAGTAGGAAAGCAAATGAATATTGATAGAAACAAGATGAATAAAGGGTGTAGAGGGTAATGCTAGAAGTTACATCATGTTGACAGCCATGGTAATGAAAGTGGTCGAACAAAGTTCTTTTGAATACAAAAGTTAGGTTTGTTTGTAAAGGTGGATTGCAATCGCCTCTGCTATGTGAAGTAACCGAGTGTGTAATCTATGAGGTAAATTAATTGGAATCAGATGGATAATCTTGAAGGCTTTTCCAGTAACCACTTGATGTTCTGTGTCAAGTAGATGAGGAAGTATGGAGCTCTTTATCGTTCTAATTTGTCCCTTGTTCAACCATGATGAGTGGTGCTCAGAAATTCGACAATGGAACTGCCTCATTGTACACCCAATGTAACTAGTTCCACAGGAGCAGTTGAATTGATGAATGCACATGGAAGTGGTGGAATCAGGCAGTTTGTCTTTATTTCTTACATCTAGAATGAGGTGGTTGTAGAAGGTGGGACATAATTTAGTGGGTGGGAATGTTTTATGCAAGACTGTTTTTATGCGTTGTGTGATGATCTCAGTGGCAATATCATTGTTAAATTGCAGTTTCAAGAAGATTTACTTCTTGGGAACTGTTGGCATTCTTATCTTGAACTTTTGTAGTATTCATATGCTTAGTTACAAACTTGTCTGGGTAGCTAAGTAGGTGATGGATGGTGGTGAACTCTTCCTCTATAGCATCATCCATATCGCCTTATTCGTACCAATGCACATAGATTGGAAGAACAAAGAGAAGGTTTATTATCCGCATTTCTGAACACATCTTGGAGAATTTGAGTCTTAAGGATTCACAGGGTTTGAATAGCTCAATCGTTTGCGATTTGATTGATATTGGATATAAAGTTGACAAACTAAAGTCATTCGAAGTGATTGATGAACAACGGAAGGCCGCTGTTTTGCTGTTGGCTGAAGTAGTAGTAGCGGTTAAAAGACTCCAACTTGATTTATATAATTCAGAAAGATACTGTTGTCAGTCCTGATTTGCTGCAGTAATTCTAACCTCCTAAATTTGTATCAATGTAATTCCATGACCTCATGACCCTCTGTTCTTCTTTCATATTTATCTCTAGAACTATTTCGAAGTCTACTCTCACTTCCGTCTAAGTTGTATCTTCATGTTATTACTCAATGCAGTGAGAACTTGTTGACTTCCAATCATACTAGCTCAAACATGATGTTATATATACCAGTTCTAGAATAACATTGTGTAGAACCTCTCCTATATCTTTGCTACATATTTAATCTTTGAGTAATCTGAACAATACTAATTTTGGTTAACCTAAATTTATTGTAGTAAGAGATACTACTGCTGACCGACTTGAGTAGTCTGCAAACTACCCAACGTGAACATTAGAATTTACCAATCAGATGAGACCAGAGTGATCTTGAAGCACTGGATGACAGTTTCCTT